ATGCACGTGATACATCACGTCTGTAAAAGCATGCTCATCGCTATCAAAGGATGCCTTTGCTATCCTCGTCCGCTTCTGGCATTAAGCCTATAATGCCTATATGTCCAAAACAGCAAGAGGTTGGGTCATGGGCTTCTTGCGCATCCATACGTCAGCTTGCTGTGCCAGCAATGGACTGAGTACTTAAGCTACTGGGATGCCATCCAATAATGTCTTATGATTCCTCAAGGCTTTATGTGGATCAGAGGGTGAGCAATGTGGTGCCACCTATGTTTTTCAACATTCATTGTTTTTAGCAGCATTCGATTCCCTTTATTCATTAAAGGAATACTGAATTGATCTTAGTTGGCAGGCTGATGTTCTCTTGCCAAGTGTGACCTTTGTTGTATGTCATCCATCGCCCTGTATTAAAAAGTGCAAGGCAAAGTGGATCCAGGTCATTGCCTTGAATCCATCACCCTGACGGCCGGGCGGACAGCATCATGTGTTTTCGCAGCATAGCCAGGTGTGTCCACTGCTGGAAGATCCTTCATGATTGCCTAGAGACAGCCTGCCTTCTGCAAGACTGTCTGCATCCGCCAGAACCAGTACTCATAGTTTTGACTTTTGAGCAGATCGCTAGACAGCAACCTCTGATCTATCTTAAGGGTCCTCACAGAATTGTTGATGGGATGTTTTAAAAAGATGATGATGCAGTCCACCGTAGCAGGCAAACAATTGTATTCTACTGCCAACTGTCCAGTCAGGGCTCATAACCTGTTTTAATAGAGGCAGTAAGCATTTTAATAGAGGCAGCTAAGAGCCTACAGATGGCAAAGTGGATCAGAAGCACAAGTAATTTCCAGAGTCTTACAAGTACATCCTGCAGCTATGCTCAGATATGAACTCACTACACAATGAGCTTTCCAGACCAAAGAGAATAGAAAGTTCACCCTCTCTTATACCGGTACAGAAAGATCACACTTGGCACCAAAACCAATAAGGCAGACAGGCCATATGCTCACATACTCTTCCAACAATGAATGCCAAGCTAATCACAACAAATAGAAGCTGGTCAGCCAGCTTTATGCCTAGCCACCAACTAACCGCCAGGAAAAAAAGCTGGCAAATATAAAAAAAGACTACACCTACAACAACACCATAACAGCATTTAAATGCTGTTGCCTTGGCCAACGCTACAATCGCAGGGGTCTTATACCTGCAGGAGGCTAGCCCTTGCATAATACTGGATTCACATGCTATGTTACTAAGTCACCCAGTTCACATGGGACATTACAACAATGTTGTGTTCATTGGCGCAAGCTGTGTAAACCATCTCCATTTTGTCTTTCAATGGCCAAAACTTCGGCACATCCCCTTAGAATCGCAATATACAATTGAAGGGTTATTGGCAGCCCTGCCTACTGCAATGGCACTGCATCCCGCACAAGCCGCGATGGCATTTGCCCTCGCGGTCACAATTCATAACCTGAAGATATGTTCGATGCTCAGTGGCAGAGCTTGAGCGTGTGACATTCGGTGTGACTAGAAATTCAGTCAAGAGTGCAAAGCGTGCACAATTTATCAAATATGTGGTCTTTATAAGCGATTGGGCTTGGCTGTTTGTTATAGCTCACAAAATTGGCGATGCAATTCAGGTAACAGTACAAGGGTACGAGGGGTCAGCATTTGACGAAATTCAACCCCCCTCAGTCACTTTAGACTTATAGTTACCATGTCCGAACCGACCACTTTTCCCAAAAAGTCTTAACATAATGTAGCATGTGAGCTGGCTATAACTGCCACCATAGACATCTGCTTCCCAACCAGCATAGACAACATCATGGCCACTACCCATCCAATCATCATCGTCCACAGCCCCCCTACCAAGTTAAGACTGATGGCGGTGGCGAAGACCATTAGTAATGCATTCCGTTGACCTGGTGGACGGGGGCTTGGAGTCCAGGCAATCTTCTATGGTGTCAGCTGACTTTTCTGCTGGCTTGCCCACATGGAAGGGCCATGCTAATTTCTGCCATGCAGAGCGAAACGTATGCAGTATGCCTGCAGTGCACAGCATATCGATATGTGAATGAATGTACGCTGCTGTGGACTGAGTATGCCAGGATAAAGGCAATCTATGAAGGGATGCCTAGTGCACTGACACACCAGGAGAATTACCAAACACTTTCTAGTGCTAGGCTGCATTTATAGCTTCTCCAATTCCCTCAAACTCACACTCAACAACGTCGATCTCGACATGCTCCTTGCGCCCTGTGAAAGAGCAGGGGCAGGCAGCAGGATGCCTCAATTTCCATACGATAGGCAGGCATTTGGAAGCTCCAAGGCGCTTCCAACCCATGATCCAAAAAACCATACTATAAAATTACAGTCACAATCACTGCGACTAGTTTTGGAAAGCACATAGCAAGCAAATCTCTAACGACTAACCTGTCAGAATCAACACCCGCTCCCATTCATCCTTGGCGGTCTGCGAGTGGGGGTTGGCTTTAAGGTTCTTGAGGGCCTCGTCCAGAAGGTTGTCCTCATATTGTCGTCGAGCTTCCTCACGTTGTTGTTGTTGTTGTTGATAATGCTTAAGTCTCCACAGTGTCTCCAGGTGCTTGCGTAAGCCTTCGTTACTAGGCTCCGCCGCGACCTTCCCCGACACATCTGCGATTTGCTCGTCAAGAGACAGCATGTTGTCGCTGGGAGAGTAGTTAAACAAATATCGCCTGGGATAAATGAAAGTGATTAGCATGAGCGGGGCTTGGGATTGCTAAATCCTAATCGACGTTAGGATGCCCTGGAGTGGTCGCTAGTACGGCTGCCATGAAACTAAGCGTAAAGTAATTTCAGTATATACATTCGAAAGCTTACATGATGTACCTTGTTACCGCTTTTCTGCAAAATGGCCGTCCCCCCATCCTCCTTCTTGTTCAATCCTCGAACTATCTGAACGAATTCGCATACGCTTATGACAACTTTGGCCACCGTGCCCCGAATCATTGTCTGAATACCTAGCCAACTTGCCGCTCCTAGCTCCATGTAAGTGCGGCTCGAACCGGTGGCGGCTTGCCCCATGTCGCCTGCAACATGGGTGTGGGTATACATAAACAGTGCATAAGGCCGGTAGTGCATACGGTTGAGCAGCCGTCGCCGCCCTGCAACAACGCTGACTGCGTCGGTGATAACGTGGGGTCACGCCATCCAAAGAACTGCAGCAGTTCACGGATGACGGTCAGCAGCTGATTGATCGACAGACACGGCAAGTCAACATACGGCTTATACAAATGTCCAAAATACACCAATAAAAAGTTGAGGAGTTGGGAACAAGAAATTCACCATTGAAATTGTGGCAAGAAGAGGGTGCATGCACTCAGCGCATGCCTGCAATTGGAGGAAATGCTCCCATCCTGTTCCCCTGTTGGCCCTCAGGGGCTAACGCTGGCCAGAATGGCAAGAATGTTTCCTGATCAACAGTGATACCCTCAGCCCAAGATCTGACATGAAACGAATGCCCGGTGGCACATTGTCCCAGGCCTCCTCACCCTGGAATGGCCATGATAGTACAGACAGATCATGGTGGAATTTCGCGCACCTCACACGCGCAGCAGCATTCATGCAGCACAACAGCACACAAAAGGCAGCAGCAAGGCAGTACCACAGCCCTGGCCCTCCGGCTAGCGGCTTCCTCCAAAGCAGAAATGAAACGTCCACATCATCAATACCGGGTGGAAATAATGAATGCATCTCGGTCAGCAGTACGTATGCCGAGGCGGTCGCTGTGGTATCGGTTAGCTACTCTAGGCGGGAAGGCTTTCTCCCAGCCGGGAAACCTCCCCAACACACAATCCGCGGTGTGTGCCGGCCGGCACCAAAGCTAACACAACTATGAGGCCTAGGGGCTTTAAGGTGTTATGGTTATGTGGGCAGCAGTACCAATGATCCATCCGCATTCACAGCTTCAACAGAGATGATAACATAAGGTATTAACAACATAGGATTTCAGCCTGTCCCTGTGGCACGTGGTTATAAAGCACAAAGTCAGATGTCGAGCAGCAGTGCTTGATGGACAGCTCACTTTGCTCAGGTAACGTGAAACGTCCGTTACGTTGGCTTGCTCAGCCCTTAAGGCCCATAAGAAGATGGACGAATCTGTATGGCAGGGCCTCCCCACAGGAAAACGGCTCCATGACTCAGCAATTTTTTTATGAAACACGGAACAGTCCAATGCTGCTCCCTCTACGGAAACAAGGTAATAGTCGTCAGACACTGACCGTCCTAAGCAGCCTTGTCGTATGTATATACAATGTATGCCGTACAAGCCTGCTGTACAGCATGCAAGACAAGATCCACTCCGCACATCTCTTCTCTCCACCCGCAAAACCACCAGTGGAGGCATTATTACTAATCGTCGTACTCAGCCAGTCGGCCTCCAGCCCCAGCCACCTCCTCCTCCTTCTTGGCTACGAGCATAATCGTATCTTCCTGTTCATCGTACTCCAACGTGCATCTGACCTCAACCAACAACCGCTCCGTAAGGCCCCACTTATCCACCCGCTTGTCCGGCCCCACTACAAAACCACGATCCACAGTGTGGCACGCACGACACAACGTCTGGCATACACCTCGCACGCACTCCACCACAGGCGTCCACGCCTCCGTGCCACCGTCAGCACAGCGCCGCCGCGCCAGCCCGTGCGCCTTCATCACCGCCGGCAGCAGCGGTGATGTCCACAGCCGCCGCGCGACTGCCGTACAGCGTGCCAGGCATGACACTAGTCCGAGCACTGCCAGGTGCAGTGCCGCCGGGCGCTCTGAGTCCGCCGCCGCCGCCCTGGGGCTCCCCAGAACCGACACCAGGTGCGCCTCCACATCACAAAACAATGCCTCCGGATGCACCGTGCCGCTAGCCATCAGCTGCCACAGCGCACTGGCAGCATCGACAGCGGCACGCTCCGCCGCCACCACCACAACAGCAGCGGTGCCGCCGCCACCCCAACCAACCCCTCTGGCGGCCAGCAGCCAAACGAGCTCCGACAGCACCGCCTTCTCCTCTTCAGCGGCAGCCCGCCGGGCCGCCGTACCCTTGGCAGCGGCGCCGCCGCAGCTGCCGCCGCGAGAACGCAATTTTTGCGGCCGGGCAAGTGTTCGTCCCACACCCTCGTACACCGTGATGGCGGAGTCAAGCATGCATGCTGCGGTGGCACGGACGCGGGCGCGGTCCGCCGTGCCGGCGTTGCTGGACAACGGCGCGCGAAGCGTCTCGACCGCCAGCCGGAAGCTGTCTCTCGGCTCACCAGTGGTCGGATCCGGCGGCAGGCCGAGCTCCACGCGGGCCCGATGCAAGTTGGTCATCACGATGAAACATGACTGTGGAGGAGTGTTTGTTTAGGGGTTTTACTACCTTGGCGTGTTACGTTCCTGTTGAAGGTTATATTTTACCAAACAACTGCGACGTGGGTCGGGAATACGGGTGGTAAGCAGCAGTGGTATTACCTCGGCCCCAGCCGCCGGTGGTATGAGCACGATCGGCTTCTGCTCCTAGACCTCCTTCCATAACTTGCACCACATCACCAAAAAGCTTTGGAGGCCAAGTCCTCCTAACCCATAGGCCAACCCGACCCCCCCCCCCCCGATTTCCCCAACCTCACAACAACTCCCCTCCCGCAACAACAACACCCTCCATCGCCTCCCCCGGGCCGTGACCCACCTCCAGCAGTTGCGCCCCCAGCCTCCAGCTCGAGGTGCTATCCGATAGCTGTCGTACTGACCTCTCCGCAGTGCCGTACAGCCCCTCAGCCAGCGGCCTTGAGGTGGTGCTAGAGGCTGTGGCGGCGATGGCGGCGGCACCCTCACCATGTAGGCTGAGGTTGGTCAGCAGAGCCAGCAGCTGCAGCCTGAGAGGTGAGGGCGCCAGCAAAACCCAAAGTCGGTACCCTTCCTTACCCTTCTCCCTCCATTCATTTCCCATCCCGAGTGCCTCTGGCCCAAACTTTCATTAAATCTAAAACCGTACAACCCTCCACGTGAACCCTCAAAACCCTAAAACCCTCGAAACCACCGCACTCGGTACCGTGGCGGCGGCTCACCTGAGGTCCTGCCCACTTCCACTCAGAGCGGCAGCTGTCGAGCGCGGGGGAGGCGCGCCGTCATCAACATCTGGCAGCTCCAGTAGTGACGCGATGTACGGCATAAGCCCCGGCTGACTACAAATGGCCTTGCATCCACCGGCGCTGAGCGCCACTGCCGCCAGCACTCCCATGCAGCAGGTCTGCAGCTCCTGGACCTGCGCTGCTGTCGGCACGGTCGATACCCGAACCTGCCGAACAGAATGTACGGCGTTCAGCCACGTCGCTACTGACGGTACCAGTGGCGGCGGCGGCGGTCTGCGGGGGGCCCCCCCGATGTCCAAGAGGGGCAGCACGAGCGGTGGCGGACGTGTCGCCACCCGTGGAGGCATGTGGACAGCGCTGCCCCTGACACGGCCGCCGCCGCCGCCAGTAGACCCCCCGCTACCTCTCGATCCCTCCGGAGCGCCTATCGGTGTGCAGCCCGAATCTGCCACAGTGCCGCTGCCGTCAGAAGGCGGCGCAGCGTGATCCATTTGTCCGCCGTGTGTGCCCTTCCGTGGTTCTGTAGGGGCCAACACTGCTGCCGTGGCGACGACAGCAGAACCCGCAGGTCCTGTATCTACTTCTGCCCCCTGCTGCTGCTGCTGCTGCTGCTGCTGCAGCAAGGCAGAGCCAGCAGCCACAATCGCCCGCATGAGCTGCTCCTTGCCCTACGAGGAACAGGAGGAGGAGAAAAGGAGGCGGAGGAGTAGGAGGTCAGAAAGCCGACCGGACTGGAAAAGACCATACACGAAGGCTGCCATAACGACCGACTCTGAGAATCGATCCCGCAAGCGCAGCCACGAAAACTCCCCGTGCGTGATGAGGTGCGTGCGTTTCCCGGCGACCGGAAGCTTTCCTCTTCTCTCTGGCCATGGAAATGGGCTCAAGACACGTCCTATGGTAGCACGGCGGTACGACGGTACGACCAACACAACGCACCGTCAGCTCCACACTGCTGTCGATTATGTTGCTCGAGTCCATGTCCTGAGTGTTGCCGAGGGGGTCCCCAGTGCCGCCGCCGCTGCCGCTGTCCGTTTGTACCGCCCTGCCGCCACCACGGCCGCCGCCGCCGCTGCCGCCACCACCAGCGCTACCTTCGCCGCCGGCCCGACCGCCACCACCACCATCATCATCGCTGCTGTCAGCTACACGGCTGTATCGCTGGAGGATGACAAGCAGCACGACAGTACGGCACATGATGCGGCGGCCAGGCAGTGATGTTGGACACTGAGTGGGGATCCCCATGCCATGTAGAGTACGGAAGGACAGGTCAAACATTACTCATCATTCTCTACCCACCACGACCCCCACGATTCTCCCGACAACTCCCCCGTGCAGTGAAGTAACTCACATATGCATACAGACTACAGTACTTACACAGATACGCATACATAGACAGACAGATAGACAGACAGACAACAGACAGACAGACAGACAACAGACCTCACCTCCCGCGGAGAAGCTCCCGGAAGAGGGGGGGAGCCGTCCGCAACTGCCCGGGTGCCTAGGGAGCCCGTCAGCAGTAACCCCCTAGTGGACCCAGTCCGCAACGGTGCCAGCTGCCGCTCCACCGTCGCGTCGCCAGTGGCCGCCGCGTCAGGCATGACCCGTGGGTCGGTGGAGGCCGCCTCTGGTGTCTGTTGAAGTGGCGGCGCCACTGCCGCAGCTGCCAAGGCGCCTGCTCCACCACCAGCACCACCACCCCTCACAATGGCGCCGCTGCCACCCGCACCTCCGACCCCTCTGGACGGAGTGGAATGCCCGGTACGGTGTGCGATGGCCACTGCCGCACCGCTGCCTGCAGCAGCGGTGTCAGCAGCAATGGAGGTGCCGTACTGTGCGCCAAGCTTCTGCACGAGGCCGAGTGCAACATTGGTGGCGCCGCGGCCGCCATGCATCTTTCCATGCACGGCTGGCTTTGGCGGTGGCGGCAGCGGCGACGTCGTACCAGCGGCCGACACGCAGTCACCGAAGTTGGGGTCCCTCCAGCCAGGAAGCCGGTTCAGCAACAGGTGCGCAACAGCTGGTACAACACCGAAGCCCTTGGTGTCGTACCGGCTACCGCCATTGATGCCTGCATCAGCGGCGGCACGGTGGCCGCGCTCGTCTTGCGCGGGCGCATCTTTTCCCATTCTGGTCCGCATGATGTTGAGTTGGGAGGTCTCTGAGGCACTAAAGTCCCCGGACGCCAGCAGCCACAGCAGGTAGGCGGCGGCGCAGGAAGCGGCCAGGGTGAACTGTTCCTGATGGCGACATGAACACGATGGAAACAAGACTAAACAAGACAAAACAAAACAACAAAGAAAGAGGAAGTTCGTGGGGACGTCCTGAACCTGTGAACCTGGGATGTATTTGTTGCCAAAGAAAGGTCAAAACGCAACTTCACAGCTCTCACAGTGGAACGCGGGAAGGGTTAATGGTTGATTGTTAGGGGGGGACGAGAGTGTACGGAGATGTGTACGGCCCGGGAGAAGGGACACCCACCCTGGAGGGTGCAGCAGCAGCTACTGCCGCCCCCGCTCCCGCTGGTGACGGCGGCTGCCGTGCGCCGTACAGTACTGCTGCCAATCGCTCCACCACTGAATCCCCGGCTTTACGTAAGGCCTCCTGAACCGCCTGCGGCCGCGATAATAACAAAAGGGACGCACATACGACATTACAGCAGCAGATGGTGATTATACCACTAGGTTATTGAAACGTTTCCGTTCGTCAGAACGCGGCTTCTCACCCTCTTCCATCCACCTGGACGCCCATCCCCAACTGACGTGCCAACCGCCAACGCCAACCGGCAATCCCAGTCCTCTTCCATTTAGCCCCCCTGCCACGGTCGCTGCCTGCGTTACCTGCTGCGGCTTCTGGCAATGACCGCTGGATGCAATGCCGTACAGGCTCCGGAGCAGAGCGTCCTGCAGCTGGCGCTGGGCCTTACGCACCTGCGTGACTCGTACATCCTCCACCTGCATGTACGGAATCATGCCGTACGGGGCGGCGGCAGCGAACAGGCCGTGTCGCACCTCCCCTTCACACGCGCCACTGGACCTGTGCTTCATTGGTGATTTGCAACACCCCGAGCCAGCTCCTGCTCAAGGTAAGACCCTCAAACGAAAGTGGTGCTGCTTCTCCGAGAGCCTCAACCTCTCGTAATGGGACCCAGCTCTGGCGGCTACGACCGCTGTCACGTACCTGTGCATGCTATGGATTGGTGTCGGACGATGCTAAATAGTGTACAGGAGGGGGAGGAGGAGGAGGAGGAGGAGCAGAAGGGAGAAAACGTGTTCTGGAAATGTAACGAATATATGGAAAGCGGCATGTGCGATATCCGCCAGCAAGCAGCGCACCTGCCCCTGTCCTCCCGCACCCGCTCCCGTGTCGCCGCCGCCGCCGTCACCCTCGTCACCCTCGCAGCCGCTCCCATGTTCCTGACTGCCAGCCACACCAGCCTCCTTCCCCACATCGCCAGCCTCCTCCACCTCTGTTACCCCAATAGCTCCCACATCACCATCACCACCATCACCACCATCAAGCTCAAACGTCGCCGAATACCCTCCGTCCTCACTGCAGCAGCTGCCCTTAGGCGGCTCCAAAGCCGCCACAGGCGCATTGGCCCTCTGCCCGTCGGCCGCCGGGCCCCCTTGCGCAGCAGCACCGCAACCACCACGTCCGCCCCCAGCGGCAGCAGCGGTGGCGGCGCCGGCCCCTGACACCGCCGAGCCATCGTCCCGCTCCTTTGCCCCGTTTCCCTCTCCCTCCACATCCTGGCGCTGTGCCCCCTCTCTGGCCGTGTCGAGTGGCAGTAGCAGCAGTAGCTTGATGAGACGCTCCGGAACCCGGTTTTGCTCCGGATTAGGCCACTGGCTGGGCACCTTCTGGCCGTCACAGATCAGCAACGCCGCGGAATGTACGGAGCTGCAGGCTGCGAGACACTCTGCTCACATATACATACGCACATACACACGGAATGTGCGTGCATGTGTGTCAGCTTGCAGCTCTCCGTGAGGAAGTTGAGCAAAAAGGTGAGGTGAGGTGGCCTGGAGGGTTTCAGGAACAAACGATCCGGATCCAGGTACGACAACCACAACCGGATAATAACGGCCGCCATATCTCAACCCACGCAGCCCCCCACTTACATACCCACCCCACCCCACTCCACCCCTCCCCACCCGCACCGTGCACCTGCCAGCAGTACTCCCTCCGCCGCGAGCTCCACCACCGCTCCGCCCTCCGTAACGCCCGCCCGCTTGGAGCCCCTCTTCGCCACCTTCTCCATTCCTGCCGGGGCACCAGCACCAGCACCAGCACCAGCACCAGTCCGCTCAGGTAGTGGGCCCCTTACCCCAACCGGGCCCCCGCCGCCCCCGCCCCCGCCGTCGCCTTGAGCAGCAGCAGCAGCAACAACAAGGCGCTTCAGTGCCCTGCATGCGGCCTGCAATGCACCACATCGCTCCAGGGCGGCTAACCCCCCCGCATCTGCCGCCACCTCCCGCATCGCCCACAGCACGTCGAAGCAGCCCCCCTGCTCCTTCTCCTCCTTGTCCTGCTCCATACGCTCAGCTAGTAGCTCCATCAGCCGGGGGGTGTCCAGGATCATGGTCTGAAGCTGGGAGTGGGAGCCGCCGGCGGCTGCTCGCCACGCCATACCCAACAGACAGAGACCCGCCTGGGGGGCACAACATCCGTATGCGTGCGTGTTTTGGTGGTTGGCGGTTGTGAAGTGCGAGGAGGGCATGTTCAGATTACCGGAGGTCCTGACTTCCAAGTCCTTTTGGGGTCCCAGGTCTGTTGGGGGCCTTATGAAGTTATGGCGCTTGGGGGCCGGGATGTGGTCTGGGGGGTTGATTTCGCGTTGACCGCCGCAGGGTTGTCAGACTGCTGCAGGTAAACTATTCTGTAACGTAAGGCGCGGAGGGTGGGTCCTCCGGGGGCCCAGATCACCTGAAACAATGACCTGCGATAACAAACCCTTGATGTCCGACCTTGTCAGGAATGCTCTAATGCCACCTTGATTTCCGGTAGGGGTCTCCTTAGGACGACCCTTCCCATCCCCCCATTTTTAGGACGCCACGATTGTCAAGACATGAAGACGTTTTCCCTTCGAGGAACATGCAATTAGCCCAGTAGACCAGTACCTGGCGGACATCCCGACGGGGGCTGTTAATGAGGACAGGTAGTACGGCACACAAGCGCTGGACCAGCGGCAGCAGCATCGGCGGGTGTAGCTGCGCACAACGGGCCAGGAGCAGGGCCGCGGGACCTTGCAGTCTCTCTACCCCGAGTTGCGGAACGAGGCGGTGGAAATAGCCGTGGCGCTGAGGGCCCGGATAAAGAGGAGTGGGTAGAGAGGCACAGAGAGAAAGGAGGGAGGGGTTATCAGAAGGGCCGCAGGTTTGGACGAGATGCCACATGCGGGTCTGGATGGGCGTACAAGCGGCGTAATGGCCAGGAAGCCAAATAGCTTTTTTTGGTGGCTTAAAAATGGATTTACCATGTCATGGAGTATGAGCGCAGCTGCAGTAGCAGTGACCTTAAGAGCAGAAATTGACCCAGAACCAGCGGCTCGACACATCAATAAATAGACATATGGAGCTGATATGATCGTCAAGCCGGTTGTTGCCCCCGAACAGCTGTGGACCCCGCATAACTGCAAGGGGCGGAAAGTCCTGAAGACCGGAGTGGGGTTTGAAACTCGCACCTGCACGTACTGAACCTCCTTGCTGGTCCATGATTTTGAGAGGAGTGATTCAAATGCATGGAGGTGGCTGGTGAAGTTTCCGTCCGCCGTGATAGGCTTGGTTGCGGCGTGCACGGGTCCGCTCCCGTACGCATCGTCCCTCTGCGGCACCGACCCCGTGGGTCGAGGTTCTACCGGAGTAGACAGTACGTTGTCATGAGGGTAATATCTTTACTTACGGTTCGTTTAGAGACGGGAAAAGGCCTGCTGATGGCCCACCGTGGCCCTGGGGACTCAAACTCAGACGGAACATGCGTCGTCGATAACGCCGTCCAAGCATCTCCTGTTCTTACAAGGTCACCGGTATGTATCGATGGTGGACTTGTTGTATTCCTATCGTCCCTGTCTACACGAGAGCTAGCCCGAGAGATTCGTCGCGTGCTTTGCTGTGACGAAGTGTATAGCAGCAACGGGTACGATGTAAACTCGTTAAAGTACTTATTAAATATTGCTTGTTTGATTGCAATAGAGCTTCTCCCCCGAGTAGGGCCAATTCCCGAGGTATGGTCACCATCTTCCGAATCATCATGAGTAATGCCAAAAAAACGGACGGAATTAGCTGTCCCTGTAACAGTCCGACTTCCTGGCTGGCGTAAGCTGCTGCGCGTCGGTGTTGCAAGAGGAGTGTATCCGTCGTTAGTCACAGAGGACGTCATTTCGACTTTGCCGAGCTATCTATCATGCATATGAATTAATCCTATAATCTATAATGATTTTAAACAGGTTCAAAACTGGCCAATCATGCGGACGCGGTTACAGTGTCCGTTACCGGTGGCGGTTACCAGCGAAAGCATAAACCGCGCGACACCTCCAGCGCTCCAGGAGAAGGGTTCAGTATCAGTCACCTATGCCCAGCCTCAATCTGTTTTACCGTGCGACTCCCCGCTCGCCGTCAGAAGCTGCTTCAAAATACGCCAGCAGACCGGATGCAGCTGCTTAGCACGCCGCCGTTGTAGGGCCCCCGGGTCCAGCAAATGCGACTTCGCATCATCTTCATCACCTTCGTCATCACCCGCCTCCTCCTCCTGAATCACTCCCTGACCATCACCCGCTTCCTCGCTTTTTGACCCAGCCTTCACCGCTCCCTTCCGCTCAACCCCACCCAATGCCCTCCCCGACACCACCACCACCGCCACCGGCGATGATGCAGCACCCCCGCCCGCCTGCTCCTGCCGCAGTGTCGTGAACAGCTCCCGCATCGTGGATTCTACAGCCCGGCCCCACAACACGCCACCACCGCACGCTACCGCCTTGGCTAGCAGCTGCAGCAGTGCATGCACACGAATGGCCTTCTCTGGTGCCGCACCGCCTGAAAGGATGCTCAGGGCCAGAGGACTGGATCCGGCGCTCCCCAGCATCTCCCAGATCGCCCCATGCGCCTCGTGAGGGCCGCCCTCCTGAAAGGCTGGACCTGGAGAATATACAGGGGAGGAGGACCGAAGCAGCAACTGCAAATCCTGGTGTCGGAGCGAGGGAAGCGGGACATATGCAAGCAACAGCCACTGCTGCTGCTGCTGCTTAACCCGGTGGTGCGTCACGGTCGGTACTGCTTTCCAAGTAGTCATGAAGATGAGAAGCGGATCCAATCGGCACAGGGGACCAGGCCGTTGCTCGCAGCAGTCTGTAGAGGCTGTCTTGGTTCCCATGGCTTCGTCCAGTGACAGTGAGTACTGCGTCATGCGCCACCATACGAGCTCAGTGCCATCACACAGCGCACCCTACACAACTTCTACGGACACATGCTGCCCCTGCCCCCCTCCCCCCTCCGCCTGACTCGCACCTAAGCCCCCGTCCTTACGCCCTGATCGCCCACACACAATCAGGTACACAGCTGCCCACACCCGTTCATTCAACTTGTCTGTCAAGTGCTCCCTGGGCGAGATCACTTGCCGGTTGGTATGCTCCCGAGCCACGAAGCGGGTACTGTCCTAGCTCCCAGCCCGGTCCCCTCCAGTCAACCACCCACCTGCGAGCACCTGGGCCACCCCTGGCACCGCCAGCATCCAGCGGTGCAGCTCCCGGCTGCTGGCCGCGCAGCACAGCGCCGCGGAACGGAGAGGCTCCATCCCCGGCAGGGCCCCCGCCGCCGCAAAGAGCACCGCCAAGGAGGCCAACACGCCCGTACCCTTGAGTGCCGCCGCCAGGTCCGCATTGCCGGGGCGCTGCTGAACGTAGAAGTCTAGCACCTGGAGTTGTCCGGTGGTTAAGGCGGGGAGGTAAAGGCGGGGTGGTGTGGACTGGTGAGATAAGAGTTTTTTTTGAAGTTGTTTGAAGCCTGTGGGTCCGCATAACGGAAACTTGGACCCACCTGGCACACCAGCACAATGGCAGCCACCTCCTCCGGACCCGTTGACCTGGCCGTCTGCTGCTGCTGCTGTATCACCACTGCCGCCTCCGTCTGCACCTGTGCCTTTGCCGTTGCGACTTTGCCAGGTCCTGGCCTCACCGCCCTCGCGAGCTCGCCTAGACAACGCTCCAGAAGGGGCAACATGTGCTTGTGGACTTGCTGCCAGAGCCGCAGCTTGGCCGAGGCGGCTGTTAGTTGGCTCGCCAGCGTCACCACGAGGGACAGGCAGGTGGTGGCCTCAGCCATCAAAAGTCCCTGGCCTCCACGAGCCGCCCCGACAGGTCGTTGTCGGTCGACCTGGTCGCACACACACCGGTGGCGCATTAATGTCGTAATTGGTGGACCAGATCACACCAGCGTTGGAGCGCACCAAGTTGGGGAGAGATTGAGGACATGTCCCCAGGTAAGGGAGATGCCAACGCTAAGACCCAATCCGAAGCCGCTGATACGACCGCTGATGGACGAGTGCCACTAGGACTGCTATACAAGGGTCGAAGTGGTAAAGCCCTTACTTGAGGCAGCGAAGCAACGCACTGCAGCCCGACGGCGTCCCACAGGTTGTCCAGGGAGGCCAGCTCCGATGGCTCCGCCGCGATCCGGTCCGCCACAAGCCCCACATAGGCGTGCAGCAGCGGCTGCAGCTCCAGGGAATGCCGGTGTGCGCCCAACGCCCGCAGCAATTGAAACACCCCCTGAAGGAGCGCGCCGTCGCGCCACAGCTCCGGGTCGTCCAGCAAGGCATAGGATACATGCCCCGCCAGCCGTAACAGCCGCGCGCGCAGCGCCGTCCAGGAGTACGGCGGCAGTAAGGAAGGTCCGGGCGGGCCCGGGATCGCCCGGTCTCCGCCGCGGGCAGAGGCGTCCGCGTGTGCTGTTGCTGCTACTGCGGTAGCGCCACCTGACGAGCTGCTACCTGGGCGTTGGGTTGTGTCGATTTGGGTTTGGGTTTTACAGCATGTTTTGTGTGCGCCGTCGATGAATGCAGTTGTAAGCTAGAAGATGGCGATGTAGATGGAAATAAGAGAGACATGAACCTTCCAGGCGCTGGCTGTGGCTATAGGTCGACAGCGACGCACTTACATGATGACGGGCTGACAGTCTGTTACCACTAGCAGGTATGCGCGCGCGGCAACAACTGGCAGCTCTGGAAACCTCCCTCATGAAATGATGTGATGGAATCTCAACACGGCACAATGATGAAGGCCCAACCCAGTAGGCATGCTCCCCAAGAAACCGTGGTCACCGCTACCGCCACATCCTTTTCCCCGCCTGCACCGCCACCCACTTGGCGCCTCCAGGTCTTCGAACACGAAATCGTCGCCGTCCTCCGCCGCCGCCTGCGTCTCCTCATACACTTCCCGAGGCTGCTGCTGATACTGCTGATCTGCCGGCGGGCCGTTTCCGCATTCCGGAGGCTCTGCCGCCATGAATAGAGTCCCGTTCTTGTCGGCATCTGCTGCCTGGTGCACCCCACCAGCACGAGCCGCGGCTTCAAGTTCGCCGTCCAGATGTGAGTGCGGCGGCGTCGGAAGAAGTCGCTGCTGAGGCCCCATCCCAGGCGGGTCCGTACAGCTGGTGAGGGTGCTGAAATGCAGCGTGCTCAGTTCGCCGCCTGCTACCTCTGCAGCACCATTCTCCGCTGCTTGACCGGCCCGTCCGCAGGCTGTCGTATTATCATCGTCCTCAGCCTGGCCCGATTCAATGCCGTAAAGCAAGGCCCATGTATCCTGCTCCGAAACCGCCAGCGAGTGGGAAACCAGCTGCACAAAAATGACGGCACATAATGCCCTGAAGGCGCCGCAGAGGCGCTGGCGGTCTGGGTTCAGGAGCTCGCTGTCTATGAGGCTGGTGGTTGAGAGGGAGGGCTCCAAAGCTGCTGTCGCTGGCGCAGACCGTGTTGCCGTTGTTTCTTCGATTTTGTGGTCCGGATCGTCGCTTGCCGACGCTGGTGCGGTGCTTCGATTTGGGTCGGGTGGCGGGGCGGTTCCGGCAGCTCCGGAACCCGTGCCGGGCGCTGAGGACGGCTTCTGAGACTCTGACTGTTGCTGCGCAGGCAAGGAGGACGTTGAGCCCTGGAAAACAGGCGTGCGAGCTCCAGCGACCACATTTTCGAGCAGCTTTGCGGTGATGGGAAATAGCGGCTGACCCGCTTTGAGCTGCAACGCTGCCCTAGGTTGCAGGGGGACATGGGTGGTGCAACCAACATGGGGGGCAAGCGCGCATCTAGTTGATTCTGGAGCAACTATGGATCAAAATGGGGCGATCACCCGGACACGTGGGACGGCACTTAACTACAGAGAGTTGCGTAATTCCCCACGCCATACCTTAGGGTTTCCGTAAGCCCCTCAAGCTCCTCCAGCGAAATGAGCTGCGGCATAAGCAGAAGGCAAATGCGGTCTTAATTGGTTTGGTTGGACCAGGCGCCAGGGAGAAGCTGTCAAGCTCACCGGGAGGTCATATTGCAGCTTTTCGTAGGCACGCTGACCCAAATCATTGGCTGGTGCCGCTTTATTGCTTTGAAGCTCCTTAAGAGCGGCTACAATAGCTGACGTGAACGCCGCTCGGCAAGATGGATCGATCGTAGATCCTCCCCCGCCGCTTGTGAGGGAAGTGCTGGAATCGTGTTGTGGCTTCCTTAGAGGCATCCAAGTGCATCGACGTTTAGGCTATGATATTGTTGCTCGTCCTTCCCGTCACACACTAGCCTTTTCCATGAGCATACTACCGTACGTTGTTAAGGGCAATAACAGTATCGAAGCATCGCTCAAATTCGTTTCAGTGCTATTGGAAGCCTTGTGCCAAGTAATCCGTCGATCTACCTGTCGTACGGAAACAGTGACGACTGTACTAATTTTAGTACGTGGAGTGTTGCTGTAATCAGTCTGCGAAGAATACATTCATATTGCACATCATGTTGGAATTTATTTATTTGGAGGTTCGCGGACTCCTTCGAGAGGAACTGCTTAGTAGTTAAACGATATCGGGAAGTGCAGAATGTGAGATTAAGGTATTAACATAATCTACGGGAATCAATATCATTCGTCCTAGGGCTATCGTCTGCGCCCTGTGGATACCCTGGAAGAGCTGTCAGTCTTTGCGGTACTTTGTTGGCGACAGATTGGCCAAATGTTTGCATCGAGCGCTACCTCTCCTTATGTATACTTTGTACTCAGCCTGGGAGCTGTCTGCGGAGGCGTCGTGAAGGTGTGGTCAGGTGCCGTAGCCAAGGCGAGGTGTAAGCTTGTAGCCTTAGTCAGCGTCAGCCGTGATTTGACTCGACGCTGTTATTTAACCATCCACTTGTCAGCTTGCGCATGTTGCATTCAGCAATCAGCAGTTTCACTGGATGGTTGACAGTTTTGCCGAGAGTACAACAAATCCCAAACCCGCCGGTGATTTTTGCTACCCAGGGCGTAACTGGGTTCGGGAACGCTATTATCAACCTCCTTGTGTGGGTGGCCTTCACCGCTGCTGGCGTCAATGCCGGTCCTCTGCAGCTAGCTGTGCTGGCCGACAGCTTCGGCTGCATTGTTTGCGGCATCCCGCTGCTCGTCATGACCTCAGCGCACAAGACAGCCGATTGGAGGCTTGTTATAGCAATCCTCATTTTCGCGGTACGTGAAGTCGAAGTGCCTATCCGCTGCTCAGCTCGGTTTACCTGCATGCGGGCCAACACGCTACCGGCAGCGTTATTGCCACATTACACGCCGAGTGTCCGATCTGCGCCTTGCGTGGCGCAAGGGATGTTTTATGACTTAACTCGTTGTGCTCTCTGCCTTGCAGTCGGCAGGTTCACCTCTGGGCGCTGAACTTCTGACACACCTCGCCGTGCGGTGGGTGGAGCTAGCCATGGCGTGTGTGCTACTGCTGGTTATCTGTCTCCAAATCAAGCTGCACGAGACGCTGCGCGACGCACTGCGCAGATGGAGTGACAAACGCAGGTGCGCTTAACACGAGCAAAAATAAGGCCCGGTGACACCGGGAGCCCTGAAAAGAGCTTGCGGCCTTCATTGTCAGAAGCGGCCCGCAGCCAACCCAAGTTTTACCTGGTCAAACCGGCTTTAGCAAGGCCCCACGCACCGTCAGCCGGACTTGCTTGCCACCCGTGCTTTCCCTGGTGGCCCCCCATCGACCTTCTCCCTGTGGTCGTGGCCCCCTCGCATGCAGGTCCATCAGCACCCGCCCCAGAGACCTGCCTGCTGATACCGCTCCCGACATACAGGACCCGGCAGTTGACTCCATAGCCAAGTTGCTCTCGGATCGGCAAGGAGACCGCTTCCACATGCCGGCACCCGCTTCCGCAGATGATGCTGGCGGTGAGCCGTTCGTGGCCCCGGCAGGGCCCCTGGGACCTAGCCAGCTGCCGCCAACCGGGATTCATCACGCCCGGGGGGCTGAGTCGGCTCCGATTTCCATTTCGATTTGCCGTGGTAACAGTACCGGTGCATCTGATGTTACGATAGATCTGCTGGCGAGCTCGTCGTCCAGTGAACGCCACCGACATGTGGATGGGGGGCAGCAACAGCTGGAGCTGCCGGGCCATGGGCGCGAGGCCGGCAATGTGGAAGCCGGAGGGACCGTTAGTGGCCCTGTCAGCGCGGCAACGGACACGCAGCCTCTGTTGGAACCGGGCAGCTTTTCGGCGTCCGATGCGATTAGCGTGGATGCGTCTCTCCGAGCCAGCAGCGATGCGGGATGCTGGTCAAAATGTAGCGTTTCCGGCAGGGTTTTAGGCCCTGACCAGGGTTTCTTCGCGATTGGCTCCCGGCTGCGGTGCTGGCTTCAGCGGCAGGACTGGAAGGAGGCCCAGCGGATCCTTTTGTACGGCAGTGTGGCGGGCTTCAGCAGCGGCGTCATGGGCGGTGAGTCTTGTGCGCGTACCGCTGCACGGACAGATCACATGGCCGGCTGATGCGCCACCTGCTTTAGCACAGGGCCAGAATGCTAAGACGCGGAGCCGTAGTGGGTTTGTCGGCCGTTGTTAATGCACGGGTTATGCGGTGGCCCCACCTGCTTGCGGTCAGCTGCATTTTGCCAAATGACGAAGAGGGATGTTGCGGGACGAAAATTGTTGCCTCTCCCATTTGCCGTCTATACGACAGCGATGACCGGCATAGGTGGTCCTCCACTCATGTTTATGTACCAAAAGCTCAACGTGGCGAAAGAAGTCGTGCGCGGGACAAATGCTGTCAACAACGTGCTGCAGGTAATGGGAGGCCAAGGAGGTTAAGCGGGGATTAGAGTGCTTGTGCGCCAGTAAGTAATGTAACTTTGCTGACGCGGCTGGGCTGTTCGGCTTGTAGTTGAACTGCTCGTCGAACAAAGGCACGCTTCCGTCATCCTTTCCAAACCGCGCATCATCTCCGGCCACACGGGTTTATTTACATACCCTCCATAGATTTTATTCGACGTGCGTTATAGGAATGTCTGGTGTTCGGCTATGCGTGCAAACGTCCTACCTTTTGCCCGTCGCACGATGTCAGGCTCGCCTCATCAGCTACATCGTCATGGGTGCGTTCAAACGCGAAGACATGATGCTGTATGCGGTGACAGCGGCCGTGGGCTTCATGGGCGTGGTTTTGGGCAACAGCATGGCTGGTCGGCTGGAACAGAAGGGCTTCAGTCGTGTGCTGGTTGCACTCATGGTCGTTTGCTGCCTGCTGCTGTTCGCCTCCGCAGCTGGCTTGAAAGGGCGTTCCGCCTAGCAGCGCCCTGCACGCGGCCTGACCTGCTGCTTAAAGCAGGGAGCTTGACCTGCCGGCGAAGTTGTCGCGAAGCTTAGATGTGGCAGACTTAGCGTAGTTTCCTCTTGCAAAATGTGAAGCAAACCAACGCATTTAGGGCTTGGAGTATCTTGCGTCAGAGCGCCCACGTGCGGAGGGGAGCTTTGTCGCAGCTCTTTTGGTCTGTGACATTCCACTTTTTGTGTAGATGTACTGTGTATGGCCTGGTGCACATTGTATGAGGCTGGAGTGAGTAGCCTAGCACCCAGGCATGAAGATGTTTGGCCTGGGAAGGTTGGGGCATGGTCGAGCTCACCTTACCGTTAAGCAAATCCTCTTTTGAATACGTAGCTGTACTGTGTACCGTGTTGTTACGGGTACTGTGTACCGGTACTGTGTACCGTGTTGTTACGGGACTCCGTGCAACGCAACAAAGGTTATGGTGGTTCTTCTGTCGGCTAGGTCCGTATGCCTCAGCTCAGTGTGTCTTAATGAACTGAGATACGAAGAGTAGTGTATGTGTGTGTATTCCTCGTGCGTGCATGAATTGCTCCAGTAGGGTATATACACTGCCGCATGTGCTCGCAGTGACCAGTCGTCCTTGCGGCTTGCAGTTGTGGACAAGCGATGGCGCTACGTGCTGATGGCCCACCGTGGTTGTCTACATTCGGGTTTTGTCCGTCAGGGACTCATGCCCCGTGTTTTGCGGTCGTTAATCTGCTCAGGAGGGCTGATCACGCGTATACAATAAAGTTTTTTTTGCTTCTACACGATTCATCTACTATTCATTTTTCTTTTTGAGCCGTCTATGTTTGCGAGCAAGTTCAACTGCTGTGTACAGAGTATTCGCTGTATGCGCGTTTGTGGTGGCCGCTTTTGCCCTGTCCAATTGATTCACGTGGCTTCTTCGCGACTCGAGTTGACATATATAGTAAGACCATGGGCCATGACATCGAGGCAATAAAAGCAATTTCCAGTAAATGGGAAGTCTTGCAGCCGATTGCTGCCAGATATAATTCATCAGGGTGCAATGAATGAGAATACGTGACAGTAGCCATTTATGCGCCTACATGCCAGGCTCCTCCGGCGCCAAGATATTTAAGATATTCATAAGCCATGTCACCAGCGGCCCCACGTCACGATATCCTCAGTCCCACCGCCACTGAACGCGTCATTTGAACTCACCCATACTTCACTGTCGAACCTAATCCTCACGAAACCATAGGGTATGACTGCACAAAACGCTCGCTGCACGGCAAGTTCAAGATCGCTCATAGGAAGCAAACCGTGGAATGCTCAAGAGCCTTATTAGTCCTCTCGCCTGCCAAGTCCTACGTTTCCTTGCCAAAAACACTCATCATACTAAATCTTACGCAAAAATAGACCCAAACCTACGCAAGCGAAACTGATTGTTTATTCACATATTGGGCAGTAAACACTCTTCTGCGCCCTCGAAACAAAACAAGACAGCCATACGGGGGCTTCATCTTGCACAAGGAAACCACTACAGTCGTACTATACAACGAGCGAAGCAAAAGTATGTGTGTTTTGCTCCACGGAAATACTTGTGATAATCCAGGACAGGGGATTTTCCAATTGGATAAGAGGCGGTGGTCAAAGAAGGCCAAAGAATAAAGCGTGCACCGGCTTGAATCAGCATCCGGTGCATGCGAGCCTGAACCGTACATGGGGATCCTGTTCATACGAATTTTGACGAACTCTCAAGAGCTCCCCGACGTAACGCCCGCCATTAATACCACAGCCAATCGGCCTACCAAATGCGCCGCCATACAGCAGGGGACCGCGTGCACACAGCGAGGCGTGCAATCGACACCCCCCAAGATTTCATTTCTTCAACTTAGCCGCTGCACAAACACCTGGCCACAAGTGTGCACGCCGCCTTCCAGGTTGAATGCGATGTGCAAATCCATATGACCTTGCGCTTGAACTCCTGGAACTTCCCATTGATTCACTAAACACACTCTAACCGCATCGCAAACACCCCCATGACCCTTTTGACGAGCTGAGCAGCCAATAGTAACCATAAGAGACAAACTGTCATGAAACGAATCTATACAAAGACATGCAAAGATTAGTCAAGATACCCAGGACATCCATATGTCCCTAAACAATACCTGCTTATAAGTCAAACACACCTCCAGCAAAGGAATCTATTCAGTGAATTCAAAATCCACAGATAGGACCGCTCCGACGCCTGCACCTTTCCACACGACGAAGCCAGTCTTGCAGGCATCCAGGCATTTAACCCACATGTGCAGCAGACGGTTGCCCGCCAGGCGAAGTCCCTATCCATTCCAAAACTACCATGCAGATGCGACGACAACATAGTGCTTTCCCTCCTGAAACCGCCATTAACCCGACACCATCGACAGGATCGAGCAATCAGCGTTCCGTACCGACCCAGCTTTACGGTTGCACCGCAGCGACAGAGACACCAGGCATGGGCAAACACAGCGAAATAGAAACGCAACACATCTTCGGAAAAGGATAAACTTCGGGGGTGATCACGGATCTTGCGTGATCACATGGTTCGTCTCTGCGTGAGTACCACGTAACTAACACAATTTCGCAGCAAAAGTAAATAAAAATCAGTGCCCGATGCACTAGCCGGTTACCCGGCAGCGACGGCTTCACACATGGGCACTCACCGTTCAAACCAAAGAGCTGGGCATTGTCAGCTTCTTCATATAGCAGCATTGCGATCCTATCTCAAGCTGTAATAACTTTTGACTTCTGACGCAAACACACAAATGGACACGCCGCAAACCACACGCACAAAACTGGGATAGGAATGTGGCGCTGAATGCCAGCCGACAGCGTCTGTGCCATGCATAAAAAACGGTAGAGGCATTGCACCTTAGTGCGCTGTCCCATGCCGACCTTCTTAGCATACATGACGTGATAAGGGCATAGGTTTGCCTCAAACGCACTGAAGCACTGGACCGCACAGGTTATCAACGCCCTGAGCACACCTGCACGTTATGGTCTCCCGCCGGATGGAAAAACACGGCCAGAATATCGTTTCAGATGAAACTGAGATAATGCCCAACAGCACGTACTATATCAGCAACCACGCCGTTTCAATCACACAGCGATTGCGGATGAGGAGCTGGGCGAATGGCCAGCCGATATCCTACCAGAGGTTGACGCGACGGCGCGTCCTGATTTCCTCCCACGAGCGTATGAAATGTCCCGAATCTTAATACCTTAACAATTTCCATAACAGGTACCTTGCGTCGGTAAACTAATTACCCCAACATCTTCTGAGATACAGCGAAAGGCTGGACAAGAAAACTGAGTCGAAGCATTACCGACAAATTCAGCAACACCTGCCGTAGCATTAACCCCACAGACGCAGGTAGACCCACGAATAGAAGCGCAGTGCTCTTCAACAGCCTGGCTACGGCCAGCTTACAGGTGCAGGAGGCAGGCCTTGCGCACCAAGGGGCCTTGTCGCTGGGCTAAATTGAAGCGCACGTAGGGCTTGCAAAGGATCCGCAGGTACACCCATCGGAAGGTTGGGATTGAACGTCTGAGAACCGCTGGCGCCGTTGCTGCCATAGGACATACCAGCTGCCACGGCTGCCGCTGCAGCATTTAATTGTGCTGTAAGCACGTTCTGGATGGTCATTTGGTGAAGCTCGGCCGCTAGCAGCTCCGCTGCAAGGTTAGTGTTAACGCCACCGTTGGGTAGGCCGCCCATGCCCATGCCGGCAGCAGTAAGCGCATTCACTGCAAACAAATTGTCCAATGAAGGAACTGGTTGAATTAGCATGGGTTAAAATGGAAAGACATGCAAGTCAAGCCTTCGCCCTTACCCTGCAACATGAGCTGCAAGTCCAGGGGAGTGCCGCCGGCGGCTGCAAGACCCAAAAGCGGTAATGCCGCTGCGACCGCTTGTTGTTGTGCTTGCACCTGAGCTTGTTGTTGGGCGTGCTGCTGCACCTGCTGAGCCGCTGCCTGCTGTTGCGCTTGGGAATGTGCATGGTGGTGCGTCTGAACCTGAGCATGCTGCTGCACCTGCTGCTGTGCCTGTGCCTGGTGAGGTGTCAGGAGTGTCGGTTGAAGCAACCCCAGGGCGCGGCTAAGCTCATTAAGCTCAGAGGGAGACCAATTGCGTACAATCCACGGCATCGTTTGGACAATGCGTGCGAGCTTGTTTAAAAACGGCTGCGGCTCGCAAATATCCAGGTGTGCAGCGCGGAGCAGCGTGCACAGCTCCTGAGGCTTGAACGACGGCGGGCCATCGCGGCGGTCCAGCCGCAGGGTGGCGACGCTGAAGACCCATTGCAATAGCTCGCGATCCAGCATGCCTGCCTTCTCATACGCGTAAACCACGTTGGAAAGGGCCTGCTCGTTGAAGCCTCCCGGCAAGTGGTAGACCCATGACTGTTGAGTCTGAAGAGCTGCATAAGTGGCGCGCAGCCTGCATATTAACGGGAAGGGCACTTTCGTGGTTGCATGTTATAAATAGGCCGTCTAAGTTACTCAAAGCGATATAGGCACGTAGTAGTCTCCTCCTGGTTTTTAACACCTAACCTGGCCCGCGCGAGGGGGGCGACGTAAGGTTTAGTGTAACCTCACCCACCGGATGATAGCCTCCTTGCGAGAATTTAAGAAGAGCTGTGAAATGATGGGATTTTGGCCACACTCCTCGCCCAATATGGTGGCGAAAGACCACACAATGTTCACGAGCGCCTGCAGGGCATCGACAGGCCAGTTACAGCCCCGCAATAGGATATTGCGCCACCCATGCGCTCTCTTGCAACCGATGTTGCCGGATGAATATCCTACCTGACAGGAGAACTTGTGCTCAACGTTGTTAAGGAAAGCTGAGAGGTGCGCCAGATCCAGACGGGTGTACAGCGCCTTTAGCATACTGTTGGCACTAATGGCAATGGCGACCAGGAACGCGCTCACGCTGCCTGGCGCGCCGCAAAGCCCGTCGAAATTCGCAAGCTTGCTTCTCGCATGGGCCACGGCCCAGATGCTGTTGGACAGCGCCTACAGAGGTAACAAGATACACGTTGACAATGAGATCCCGCACTGCGCAGGTAACACCTTAGCGTCTTCATAATTAAATGGGTCCAAAGTGAACGTCGCCAATGGCGCACCTAAATGCCGCAACCTGATAAAAGTCTCACCTGTGCGTCGAATAGGCTGCCCGTCTGGTCGCGCGTTAACATATCCGTCATCTGGGACATGATGGACGAAATCACCTCGACGGGTGGCTCGGCAAGCTTTGCGTACGCCCACAGCAAGTTGGCCAGGCCCTGTTGATGGGAGAGGATGCGTTCATAAGACACTGCCGTTACGGCTCGTCCTTGCAAATTATCGACTATTCCTTTACCTGCGGGCTCGACTGGTTTAGGAGGCGCAGCACCAGCGGCGAAATGCTGATGATCACCTCGTTGCCCGTACATCCAGCCTCCAGCGCCAGGTCCAGCTTCACCAGTGCCCAGATCAGGTTTGAGACGCATCGCGCATCGATACCCTTGACCTCCTGGCTGTATGGTGGATGTAGCTGTGCAGCCAGCATGTGCGATTGGATGGTCCCTGCGGTACCCGTTGGGCATATAATGAGCGGACAGTTGCGTACAACATGAAAGCACTAGCGATGCAGATACTTACGAAGCAAAACCTGAAAAGAGGAAGACTCGTTCAACTCCGCCTTCCATGCTTGCCTGGCCTCGGGGTGTCGAATGCCCGTGTACATGCGCGCCAGGCGATACACGCACGTAACCTGCGAGGCAAACAGTCCTATGTTAAGGACAAAGATGAAGCGCAAATACATATATGCTGCAAACGCAAAACAATAGGCTAAGGCCGCTGAAAGGCGCTGAGAAACCAACGAAACCAACTCACAGCTACTTACCAAGTTAATCGGGTCCAGGATGATGTAGCACTGCCCAACGAATGCCAAAAGTTCCTAAATTGAAGATTACAAGAAATCTTCAGCACTTCAGCTTCCCGAGGCCAATAGGCGACAAGGATAACCGCCACATCCTTGGTCAGGCTCACCTCCTTTGTATGCATGGCATTTATCTGCTTCAAAAGCTTTGGCTGTAAAGGAATTGCATAGTCTGGCAGGCGAGGGATACCCGTTGGCACAACGGCGCCTGCGGGACAACCCAACAGCAAGAGTGAACAGAGGGGGGGTAGCTACCTGGACACGTCCGTCGACATCAAGAATTCTTAGGTATGAAGATAAGAAATGAGCATCTTCTACTATTCACAAAGCTGAAGCTCGGATATCCGGGCCAAGAAAAGTTTCAGGGCAACTGCATTTCCCAAACCCACCGAGAGGTCGGCTGCCATCGATACTCAAGTCCAGCCGTGGCTCGCTGCGTACAGAGCTCTACATGGGACCAAAAGCCGCGAGGAGATGGTGTTGAGCTTGCAGAAACGACGCGGAGAAGTCGAATACAACCGCGGGATGTCAAGTCATGGTCACCAAACTGGACCATGCCGCAAGAATACGATACCTCTGTGCACGTGTCAGATTGTGCATCATCCTCCACAGAGACAGGCGGCGGGGACTTCAGGGTCTCGGCTCCGCAAGCAGACCCCCTTGGGGACAACAACAGTGCTGAGTTGCTCATCTATCCTGACGCTACGTCAACATGTAAAGCGGAGCTAAATTTAAGGACTCCTAACAGATGTAGCTTTCACCAAGTGTCTTATGTGGGGTGTCCCAGTTCGGATATGTCTGTTGCAGGTTAATATATGTAGTTACGCTCTATATAATTATCTTGTTTAACTCTGCAATAAACACAATTGTGTCCCAGGCAGTTATAAAAGTGTAGTGTAGCAGTTGTCCAGGGCATGTCCGTACATCGATTTGGAAGTGGCGCTCATGCTGTGGCTGGGTCACCACAGCGTATACTTCTCTAAACCAACGAAACAGGAGGGCTGCTCTAGCACGGTTTTGGTGGGTTTGCTCAGTCCCAGGTAATTCTCGCAGCAATGCCTTGGACGCTGACCAACGCGCAACACCCAAGCGTTGTATCATAGAGTGGCAACCATAATATAATTTACGATTACAGAGGAGCCTTAAGTTGTTTGGATTCGTTCTCGCTGGCGACCCGCCAACTTCTAGGCGCTGCGCGTGGACGGCGTCTCAACTCCGCTGAAAACCAACTACACCCAACTGCGCCCGGGGCTTCACATGCACGTTCAACAGCATTCCAGCCATGTGTTTGCAAACGCAGTCACCAGCAAAGAAAAGTGCCCCTGCAACGACATCAAGCCTGGGCCAAGCGCAGCCGCACAATCTTCTCCCGGAAACAACGATTTCAAGACTGCACAATCCTTGAGCTGAGCAAGCGCCTACAGACCCGAACCAGCACACGCAGACGAGATTGCGGGTTCGCTAGCTCGCGCAGGGCCTCATCATCCAGGGGCCGTAGCCCCGTGCAACCCCAAATTCGCAGCTTGCGGAGCTGGCAACGGCCGCGCAACGTGTCAGCGAGGTCAATCGTCTGTTTCTAAGTGGACACCAGCTCGAGCGAGCGCAGAGCCCGGCCACATAATTGCAGGGGCGTGCATCTCAATAAGCAATTGACTGCCCCGTGCTGCCAGGCTCCGCCTGCCTCATCTGCGCTTCGCTCAACCGCCGGCTGCCTGTTGGGCTGTGAAAGACCAGGAAGCGCCACGTACAAGGCTTCAAAGCTCAGCACAATCAGGCAATCCAGCGCGACAAAATATGGCAAGCGACATCGTCATCTTGCTCGCCAACTACAACACGCGTAGACGAGTGGGGGCCTAGCACTCAGCCCCAGTTCTGGTAGGTCCAGGGCCGGGTTGCCGAAAGGGTGCACGTATCTGCAGGTAGTGCAGCGCCGGGCATTGCTCTCGAAGCACCCCTAGGGTTTAGTGTCTACGGCCGCAGGACGGCAGGCGATGCTGAGGTGGCGCAGCTGGGCCAGGCAGTCTATGACCCTGTACAGCGACGGCTGGGCGCGATCGGGCTGCCACACACATCGCCGCTGGCTTCCCCGGTAATGGCCACCATCTCCAAGACCTGCCGTGTCAGCTGCGAAAGCGTGGACAGTTCCTGCAGTGCTGCAGACACAAATGATAAGTGCAAGTAGTGTGGGCTAACAGGTTACGAAGGATCATTGGACAACGACGGTAATATGCAGCCAAGGACGGTCGCCATGTTGCACATCGGGGAGTTCGCTTCATCACGAATGATCCCAACCAATGCTGCAAATGACACCAAGCAGGATGAGAGTCTGGCAGGAGGCATCGCGCAACTGCTTGATTACAGTTTTTCCACAAATTCTGCCTGCGTCAGTCACGGCACAGCTCCAACAACCTTGTACCGATGCCATATTGCCAGCTTTATGCATGATGCGACGGCTTCGTCCGTGCGTTGCTCAGCTTGGTTGACAACGATCATCGCACCTCGAGCTTGTTGGGTTCACTGACGGTGAGCGCCAGCTCGTGCAAGACTGTCATGGTGCAGAGACCGACCGCCTCACACATTCCGCTCGAGGACATGGGCAGCAAGCGCAGGCAGGTCAAATGGCTGCAGCAGTGTGCGTCGCACTAAGGGCCAACCGTGAAGCTCTCCATGGACAGCTATCAGGAGGCAGCAGCGGAACAGCGGGAAGCAGCAATAAAGGGCGGCCGCATCGCAATCAAGTAGTGAAGAAGGATAGCGGTAACCGGGTAAGTAGTGGGTAAGCTGCAAGTAAGCGAACGCAAGAGCACGATGAAGGAGTGATAAGATAGATGTCACGAGGATAGGAGTGCAGGCAGGGACATCTTGTGTTTCGCCCGGCACCGCGCAGACCGGCGTGCAGGCCGCCATCCTCCAATGGTTAAGTGACCCTGGTAATCTGAGAGGCGGAAAATGGCTTCTAGCTGAGACGGAAAGCGTATAAGTGCACTGCGCATGTACACGTTCCTTACGACTCAGGTGGCAATTGTTGTAATGGTTGCACTGCCGTAACATCGCGGCTGCTGCAAGTCCCAACAACAGCTGTACAGTACCGCGATTACGGAAGCTGCCCATATCATGGATCGGGCCATCCACGGAGCTATTGTTGATGTTGTTACAGGGTGGTACAGCTTCACCAGTGGCCTCCTTCCCGAGGCAGTTCCCTGCTCTCCCCTGCTAGAGGGGCACCCTAACCCGTTCACCCCATCCGACTCCGGATCAACGGCGCCACAACTTAGTTCCTGGTCAGCTCGCGAGCTGCTATTATCACGTCCTACACCGTCCATAAGATGGGGGGCCACCTCCCATTTCAATACCCCTCACAGACCGAGGGGTCGGCAGGTGAATTTGAACCCGGGGCCTCCGGGAGCAGAAGTCAGGCTTTAACCTCTGCCAGCCACCTGCCTTTGTTTGTATTGTTGACTTTTGGGTGTGTTTATGTTTTTTCGTCGCATTAGGCCGACCTATGCGTGGTTGGGACACAGCTGGACCACACCACCCATTTTAAACGTAGTGGACGGCAACTTATTTAGCATGGATCCGCTCATAGACAACAGTCAACGGGAATTTCACCCCTGGGTGAATTTACAGTCACAGCATGGTAGACTATCATTTTTTTGTTTTAGGCAGCACTCCTCTCTATGAGGCAACACTGATTTGCCGGTATTGGTAGGCACGAGGTAATCATTTATAGGGGAGCCATATCGGTAGGTCCCCTGTCCAGTCTTAGTCTATAGTCTGTTGAGTAAGTTTGCGTGCCTTTACGGGCCAGTCGGTCTTCTTTTCCTGGTTTGTGTTTCATGCAGCGTCAGGCGATGTGCCCTTTGGCTCGGCTTCTTTGTTTTCAGGCATAGAAGCTTGGTAACCCGCTGTAACATCAACAACGGAAGGATAGTGCTCGGCATAACGAGGGAATGCATGCCTTTGAGAGGAAGTCGGTTCGGAAGTTGGTATGCCGATTGCCGTTGAAATTACAGAGTCCTGCCCCACACGACACGCCGAAAGGAGCAGCTGTGGTGGACATTCTCAAGGACACGGAATGGCGTTTTTGGGATACCGCGTTCGCCCATATCATACACCCACGCTAGACAAGCGGCTTCAAGAAGCCATCTTAACTCTGATTACGGCGCTAACACCGGGGCTAGACTCGGCTTAAATGCAGCCTTTGTCCCCTGGAGGTTTTGGACATCCAGGAACTCATCGAATGGAAAAATGTTAAGGCGTGGCACGCAGTTCATACTAGTCAATTTGTTAAGGGCCCCGTGTAAGGGCCTGTAGCAGCAGGTCCAGTCACTTGGCTAATACATAACGCAACAGGCCACACGCCATGTCGATCCTCATATTGCCACCGACGGACACGTTCGGTTGAACAGTTGATCATCCACGAAGAACACACTGCAGCTGTCCCAACTATCAACCGTTTGTGCGTTTGCTTTGCGGCTGTCTGGCGACCATCTTTCAGCACCGCTCATGAATACTTTACAAGCTCGTGAGAGCTCGTAAGGTTCATGCTAGCTAAAAGACTTATGGACCAGGGTTTCAGGGAGCCAGAAGAAGAAGCCGCAAGATGCCGTGCCGCAATCAACGCCGCGGCCGACAGTACACGGAAAGAGGACGGTTTCACGTGACTTGGGCCATCATCCTAAGGTTACAAGTTACAAGTTCCGCACACAAGTGCGGGTGTGTCCGTAAAAGCCGGGGGGGCCATGGACGATTAAGGATGTGTGAATGCGCGGAGACTCAGATCAAGATTCAACGTATCCTGACCGCCAAAGACGTTCATAGCCTTTTAAGGCTACTGAGCCCACTAGAGGGTGTGTACGGCAGAATCTCGGGACTGGCGATGTTAGCGGGACCGAAACATGGCCCCCGATTCCTTAAAATGGCGTAGGCCAAACAACCAAACGGCCTATAAACAAATTGGTCGTCTGCTTTAATATCCAATAAGTGTAATTGTGCTAGGGGGACAAAATGACCAAAATACACCGCCTCTTGTAAACGCCAAAGTCGGAATCTAAGCGCAAACCAAAGGGCCACAACGGACCCTGACGGGGGTACGTAACCAGCCCCAACATTTTGTGATCCCTAGTGTAACCCCTACGGAAACCAAAGGCGGATTCTAAAGCCCCACTTCCTTTTGTCGTGGAGCCTTAGCCTATAGGCAAAAGCTTCGACCCAGCCCGCTCCCGTGACCTTCATCCTAGCTGGCCGTCGCAACTGTAATCCTCGCATCCATATTACGGTTGTGCCTTTGCTCTTTAGGCACTGGCGGCAACACGTGTTATGGGCCTTTTTGCACCTTGGCTGTACCCTGGCCTCCCAGTAAGGCCTGTTGCACATGTCAACCATCCGTACCCAAGACCCGCGATCAGCACAGCATGAGCCCTGGGCCAATACCGGCTTGCTATTTCGCTGACCGCCACAGGCTGCCAGTCTGGCGGTGATCCTGTGCCCCTCCTCCCTAACCCGCAAGACACAACCCATAGCCGCACCTGCAAAGCACGGAGCTGCGTCAGTGCCAGGAAAACGCCCTTTCAGTAGCTGCTTGACCAGCCATCTGGGTCGTCATACAGCTGCCCGTCCAGGTCAAGATGGCTGTGGCGCTTCAAGCATGGCAGGCCCCAGGCCCAGCCCACTACCGCCGCTGCCAAGTCCGGCGAGCGGCACAGTGGCCCCAGCAGCCGTAGCCGCCGGGGCTGGCCGGACATCACGGCGGCCCATGCCGCCATCCTGTCGTGTTCGCCGATGCGGACCGCCGCGCTCAGATGACGCAGATACCGCGGCAGTCCCAGGAATAGTGCCGTTGCGGTTGAGTGGTCCCGGAAGGGCCCCACGGCCACCAGGCTGCTTTGGCTGCTGTCGCCGCCCCTCGATGGCATAGCACCCGCCGACCTCAGCAAGTGACAGGTCCTCGTCGGCGCGACCAATCGCAATCCCATTGAGGGGAAATGAGCAGAAGCCAGTGCTACTGCCCAGCTCTTGCATGCCCGGGGCCAGGTCCAAGCAAGTAAGCGCTGGCAGCAGCTCCGCCAGGCCTGCCAAGGAGGGAGTCAAGCGCCAGGCGGCGCTCCGAATGTGGAGGCGCTTCACGCAGGCTAAGGAATTCTGGCCGCCGCTGGCAGAGCAGAGCGCTGGCGGATGCAGGCCAGGCCATGCGGGTGCTGGGGCTGCAAGGGCTGCTGGAGGCGGGGCTGGAGGTGCGAGCCGCGCGATGTGGCCCCGGTAGAGCTACGCGGCCAGGGCCCTGGACTCAGCACAAGCTCCAGGGAGGTTGCGTGGGAGAGGAGGTCCTGAAGGGCGGGCCGCGTGGCAGCTCCTGTTAGGGCTGTGGTGTGAATATCCGTGTAGGTGGCCCGTGACTCGGGGCCTTGGGTGACGCGGAGGGCAATGCAGCTGGCGACGATAGGTTTGGGACAGGATGCCTTAGGGAAGGGTCAAAGGATGGCGGCATGGGAAGGGTCAAAGGATCAAGCAACAGGATGCCTTAGGGAAGGCTCAAAGGATCAAGCAACGTCACTCAGGGCTGAGGACAGGAGAGGGGCTGACGGTGCTGCGCCTCTAACTACGGAGGACGACCACGAGGTTGCAGAGTGTGGACGCAAATCACATCGTATTGTTTTTATGGTACGGCATCAATCGTGCCATCGCCTAAGATATTGGCAGTGCCAGGGCCCCAGGGCCAGGAGGTACCTCTCCCCAATAGGCAGCTCGAAGCACTAACCTGGCCTTGGAGAAGGATTCGATGGCCCTCAGCCAAGACTCGTATGTGCTGCCATGGAGGATACCCGGGACTGCTACTGAGCCGTCAAAGCCAGACGCACCACCCTACTCGCAAGCGCGGACCGCCATACCCTGCAAACCCTCAGGGCGCTTCCGAGGTCCTACAAGTCACAGTGGGAGAAGACAACCTGAGGATTATGACGGCGAGGAAGGGTGTTCTGCTGGACGGGGTTACCGGGACTGAGTATGGTGTATTGCACCACGGTTTATGTGTTATTGCATTGCTGGCGCATAGCATCTCGCAAGGAATGGACTCACTGCAAAAATCCCTGGATTATGTAGATTTTGGTGCTCCTTCATTTTGAATTTCCAGTTAGGCAGATCCTTCAATGAAAACATCTTGTTTATATAACTGCTTCGATCATCCTTATGCGGAAGGCGCTCCGTCAGAGTTCTCGCTCCAGAACCACAACAATAACTTGTGGGTAACGCCATTTTGTGTCTATAATTTCCAAAAACACGATAGGTTCAATTTCCTTGCGAGTAAAAAATGTTGACCTCTAGGCAAACTCGGCCAGCGGCATTTACGTCCGGCCCTGTGGCTCGGCGCGCCGCCGTGCGCCCGGCCCCGGGCATGCGCGTTCGTGCTCGGCCCACTGCTGCTGTGCCCGTGCGTGCTGAGATCTCTTACATTATGGTTAAACCCGATGGTGTTCAGCGTGGCCTTGTTGGCGACATTATCTCACGTTTTGAGCGTAAAGGCTACAAGCTTGCGGCCCTGAAGCTCTACCAGACTCCTCGCGAGGTAGCTGAGGAGCATTACAAGGACCTGAGCGCGAAGCCGTTTTACAAGGACCTCGTTAACTACATCCTGTCTGGGCCTGTCGTGTGCATGGTAAGCGCGCTGCAATTCGGACATTGCGCGATGCCATTGAGATAGCGGCACAGTACGGTACCTTTCCCGGACACGGTGTCTGAGTGCGCAGTCACAGAAGCCGCATGTCACAGTTTGGACAGGTGTAGCGGGACAGCTGCTATGTCGTGCTTTTGACGGGAAGTCCTTCTGGCTGGGTGCTCATCATCTGCGTGCCCACACGCAACTCCTTGCTGCCCACGGCTCAGGGGGCGGGTTTGGCATACATGCCTTTTTCACGTTTGCTTGTCCCCTGGACTGTAGGTTTGGGAAGGCAAGGGTGTTGTGGCCACCGCCCGCAAAATGATTGGCGCCACCAACCCCCTGGCCTCTGAGCCGGGTACCATCCGTGGCGACTTCGCTATCGAAGTGGGTCGGAACGTCATCCACGGCAGCGACAGCCCGGAGAACGGGGAGCGCGAAGCGGGTGAGATATGAGCGGCTTGAGCAGCTCGGAATTCTCGGAGCGTGGGATTCCGTTGGGCCGTATGGAAGGGACATAGGGTTGATGTGATATTCACACCCATAGCCAGCCAGGCCATGTCAGGCCTGACATGTGTCCAGGCCCGTGTCAGCCTGGGGCGCGTAGCATGCGGGGCGGAAGGAGTGCCTGGGTGCCTGTTGCATAATTCACGAAACCAATCTCTGGTACTGTCTCGGTTTGGTGGGTTTTTTCCTCGAGCATGTGGCGGTCATTGCAGAGGTTGTGCACCTATCCGAAGTAGACATCGTGTTCTATAACGGCTGTGGAATAAGCGCTGCATCTTGCGATCGATGCATCCATGTACGTCTATGGCATGGATAGGCTCCTAAAACTTCTCCCTTCCGCATCCCTCCTTTGCTGCCCTGCAGGGCTCTGGTTCAAGGAGGGCCTTGTATCCTGGGAGCAGACCATGACTCCCTGGCTCAAAGAGTAAAACTGCTCAGCTTACATGGCTGTGGGCTGCCACTGTGGATGGATGCCGGGCTGCGATGGCGGATGCTGAGCGAGAATGTGCTACGTCCCAGCGAGAGCTGACCCTTCAAGCGCTAGCGGAGTCGCTCCTTTGGATGTCGAACCGTTTTTTCATACGTGTGGATACTTAAATTCAGACCGCTTGAGGGGGTATCCATGCATTTTTTTGTCCGGTGGCATGGATCCCGTACATACTCTGCGCATGGGGCATCACGCTTGTAACGGTGTTAATATGTCGCGTTGAAAGGGCGCTGCCATCGTGCAAACTGCTTCAGCCATTCTGCGTAAGGCTTTCTTGCTTAACCAGCAAAATGCTAGGTGCAGAATCAAGAGCTGCACCTGCGTACGACATTACAGTTGCCTGCAACGCAACAAACATAGAAATTGCTAACTTACCACTGGGATTACAGGGAAATTGCTTTCCACAAATTTACCCACACTCGTAGTTCGTGCGACTCGTCACCGTTCTTCAGGCTTGAATCGGAGGGCAGTCGTATACCTTTTTTGAGTTCCAGCATGCTAAAGATTTGAACCGCCGCTTGTAATGCTTTGAATTGAACTGCCAGCCGGGGCAATCTTGCCTCTCTACCCCATATCTGCTTGATGCTGAAGTGTCCACCGTCCGTAGTAGCTACGCAACAACTTTTCTCGGCTACTAGAAATCTTACTTGGTCCATAAGGACAGCGGTGGACTTGGGGACGAATGTCAGCTTTGTTCGATTTCAACAGCTTCGTGGTCGTCGTTTTGTTAACCATCTGCACCTGTACATATGTCAAGCTGATCTATCCTGCCGCCCTTACAGTTAAGACGGGGTAAGGTGATATCCTCGTTATCCCTATGTCAGGATTCATGCTCTGATCGCGGTGCCTGTCTGCAGCTTTAAAGGTCTGTTTTGGAAGGCGGCACGTATAGGTGAGCGTCCATAATGGTAACCTTGTCTTTCCGTCTGGATAGCGTCTCACAGGCCCGGGCTCCTTTGCACAGGTGAACGCTTGAGCCCTTGGGTCGGTGCAGCCTGTCTGGCCATGGGCGTCGTAACTCTCTTCTCCTAAGGCGGCGGAGCGAGAAGATAATTTTGATGTACTGATTTGCAAAACTTGGCCTCCCACTGAACTGGATTCGAGCGGTACAGCTCGCGGGTTTCGACTCTCATCACCACGACCCGGTGGTTTTCCCCACCAGAGAAAGGGCATATGCGCAATGAGCCCAAGATCCTGCAGAGGACTTGCAGTTTCAGTTGCGGCGATAATGGGAGCAGGCAAGAGGTCATTGTTGCGGCCGGGGCTTAGGGGACTGACGACCCTTCAGTTTGATCAATAAAAGGGTACGCCTGTCCTGCAACGTTGCTCTACATTTAAACGCCCCTGACCTTCCCGCTCCATAAAGAGTGGTCGGCAGTATATGTGCGCGGTGCTGGAGATGTGTGACAATTGGAACGGCCCCGCCTGCTGACTGAAAGGGGCTGTACGGTGAGCGTACCCGCCAAGTGGCTTGGGGCCGTATCACTGCAAATATGCGGGGCCTGCACCCACGCCCTGAGGACTTCTATACGGATAGGGGATTGGAGAGGTTCGCTGACGGGCGGGTGTAAAACCTTTTGGGCCCTACCACACGGCTGGAGGCCAGCATGAAGCCTCTGGTAGCGCCGAATCGAAACCAAGTTGAAATGGATTGTGTTTGGAGGCTGATCCGGAGGACTCGCTTCGTTGTGTGAGTGATGTTCGCAGCCTCGGCTTTTGCGACATTTGCTATGTTTCGGAAGTTGTTGCCAAGTGTTGCATTTTGTTAGCAGTTCTCCGTACTAAAACGGCTTGCCAGCCTAAATCGGCCCTGACGGTTAATGGCAGAATGTAAAAGCGCATGCTCCGGAACGGTTCCCTGTCCTTCTTTGCGTGCTGACCCGTGTCATCCTGATAGGGTGGTAGCAGAGTTGTGGCAGCACTGAACTAGGCACGTGCAGGCGTTCTTCACCGGAGGCGCCAACAAATCGCAAGGTGTGCTGCTTAGCGTAAGGGGTTGTGTCCGCACGCAGAGACGTTGAGCAACGCGTGCAGACAGCTTCAGAGCTCCTGTAGAGCTGTGAAAGGCTTGCCGCTCTAAAATTGGCAGGGGATTTAGCCACGCCACTCGTGTGTAAGTGAGTTATGGCTTAAGTCTCGGCTCATCGGTCACCCAATCGTTGCTTGTCCTGCCTTGGCGGTAACTAAAGCCCCGGATACAAGACTAATCCCGTTGAATACAGATGCATCTTCAAAACAGAATGTTACATTTTAATCCTGAGCACTCCAGGTTTCTTTCCTGAGCCCAACCTTTCGTACGACGATCTGCCGTATAATAAACAAAGCTAGTGTTGTGCAATGAGCCTGCGCTATGGGACAGGAGCCGCTAAGAGTGAGGGAATTTCATTGGTAATCTGTTGGGTAGCGTACCCTGAGAGCAAATTCATTTCGCTTTTGCTGTTTAACGCATTAACCATAAGATGCAGTCGATCATTCATCGACGCGCAATCGGCAGGAATGCATTTTCCTCTCCCGCACCTACTTCTCGGCCAGTCCGTGTATGCAAGCGAGTCGTGCATGCTCGGAGCGGCAAGGCCTCGCGACGCGCTGCCGTGGAATGCCAGGCGTTCTTCAACTTTTTCACGCCTAAACCAGCAGCAGCAGCGCCAATTGTGGACCCTCGCGCGAAGCCGCTCGTTGAACGGCTGATCGCCTTGACCAGGGGGACCGATGCTGGAGCAAAGGCCTCTCCTGCGCTAAAGGAGGAAATTGCCGACGTGGTGAGTTAGGATGGGCCCAGATGGGCCAGCCAACTTCTCAACAACATTAAAAACGGTCGTCGGAGTGTTTATCCAACACGGTGGGGAGGGGTAACGTATCCGTGGACCCATCAGGCATCGAGTCCGCGCGATATTCACCCGTCATTGCAAAGTAACAAGCATAGTCTGGTGGATGAGTTCGCAAGGGCCACGTCTCAGATCTTGCTCCCCGGGTTAGGGGGTAGGAGGCGGTCATCAACTCTGCATCTAGCAATCCTGCACCGCCATACGTAAAATGCCGGCCCAGGTGCAGCTGCACCCTCATCAGCGATGAGGTAAAGATTGTTCTCCATATCCCACCAACCCACAGCTGCAGGGTGGTCCACATTTTGCTTACCCACATGTTACGCTGCACACCACATGCCGTACGCCCATGCATGCATGACGGGAGCCCCGGATCCATATTCACACCCGTATACACACATACACGATGAACAGGATCTAGTCTCAGGTGGATTAGTCCTTACAACACCTCTCAGTATGGCTTTTGGTTGCCAATCGTGCAGCGGCTGACAACAACACCGACATTGAGCATGTCACCCATTCGTGGGCCAGTGCTAGTGCGCGCAGTCGCTAACATGACCTAAAACCTGCTTAGCGGCGATTGCAATCGCAGCTTTAGAATTTGCATCGCTGTGCACGAAGCCGCTGAGACGTTTAAGGGCTGCTGGCCCCTGCTGCGCTTCCTCACCGAAAGCAGTCCCCTTCATCCCCCTCCTCCTCCCCGCCGTCGGGCCCGCCACACAGATCACGGAGCTGTCCCGGTACTGTGTCAAGAACCCGCTGAAGAGCGACCTCTTGTTCGGCGAGTGGAAGGTGCGCTTTTGATCCGTGAAGCGAATACAATGAGAAGACCACATGTATTACTTAAGCTCAAATGGTTCTTTTCATATCCGCCGTGGGGGCGCCGTCTTTGGACGAAGGCCGTTCCGCGCCCCTGTCGGGCGAGAAGCCCCGTCAGGCCGTCGTGTCCGGACTACGGTACTCTTTTCCTTCTTCCTTGTCTCCCCCCCCACCCCCCCACACACGCCCCATGTCCCCCCGCATCCTACTTGACCCGCCAGGTGCTCTTCTCCTCCAAGGCCTCAGCGGTGGGTGGTCCGCCGCTGCGCAGCGGTGTGGGCCCCGCGGTGTTTCCGGCCCAGGACGCCAAGCAGATCCTGGAGGTGAGAGGGGCGGGATGGGTGGGTCGCGTGGAGGAGGAAGACTGGGTTGAGATCCAGTTCTGGGAGAGCGGGTGAAGGGGGGGAGGAGTTGGAAAGAGAAGCGCAGAGCGGAAGGGGAGATGCGGAGCGGAACGAGGGGAGGGAGGGACGAGTAGAGATGTAGCGAGCGGGGAACTCCGCTGTGGGGAACTGCTGTGGCAAGTGGACGGCCGCTGCAGCACCAGGCTCGGTGTACTATTGGGTTAACCTGGAAATGCGAGCATCTTCAGGGCTGAGCTTCGTCTAAACGCGGATCTGTCTCCCACGCACTGGTGAATTGATAAGAAGTTCCTGTGAAGGACGAGAAGAAGAAAGGGCGTGTGGATTTGTCCTGCAGTCTGTATGGCAGTGGAGGCATTTGAGGCACGTGCTGCGGCGGAATGCTTGAGGCACGAGAAAGAGACGGGGGTAGGGGTTGAAAGGTGTTGTGCTGCTGTGTGTGGGAGCCGTGGCGGCGGCGGGCAGGCAGGCAGGCAGCTCTGACTCGGGTAGTCGCCCGCTGGGCGGTAGGGGCCGTTCGCAGTTTGTGGAATATCTCTCGAGTGCTCCGGGCCCGGGCTAGGCGACGTTGTGCCTTGCTGCGGCCTTGATGCTGATTTGAGCACGTTTACAGGCTGGCAACGCACCGGTGCTCAATCGCCCAGTTCTCCCATCCGAACAGCTCCTCAGAGTGGGCTGCCTCCTCATGTGAACGCGCCGTGTCGGGCTGGAGAGGGGAACAGCGGGAGAGACGCGGCCGGCATCACATGGGGCAGGGGAACAGAGAGCAATCCGCCTGGGGAGGGGTCATGTGTGGAGGGATCACATCTGAACCATCTGCATGCATGCATGTTTGCGTGGGACGGAAACGCCGCTATTGCCCTTGGCCTGTCTGTATATCTGCCTGTCTGGTGCCCCTATACGTCTGTGTCTGTATGTATGTGCCGTTTACGTAGGCCCCCAACAAGCTGATCAACAGTGTCGAGTACAAGACGCTGGGCTTCCTGCCGGGCTTCAGCCGCCAGTACGCCACCTTCGAACCCATCAGCGCTGATACCTACCTTGTGAGTGTGAGGCCTCCACACACACACACACACGCACGCACGCACTCCCTCTCCCCCTTCCCCTCCTTCCACACGCGCCTGACGTCTTCTCGTTGTCTTACTTTTATCGAGTCTAGATGTACTACTGCCAAGCACCCGGGCCTAGCGCCTGCTGCGTGGCAAAGTGGCGTCGCGCATCACGTAGCTCGCGAATCTTCAGTCCAGTCCTGCGTATTGTGCAGTACGGAAGATTTAATTAAACCTATCGAAGTGTCTGTAGGCCTATTTAAGCATTATAGCTACCTGGGCTGCTGGCAGGGCATCTAGAAAGGGTGTTTAGGTGGGCAGTAGGTAGCACCGGCGTCCACCATGCGCAACAGGGCCGCAGACAACACCACACAGTCTGTCCGCTGCTTCCCACCCACCTGACCACCCGCACCTGTTGGTGGGTATGTATAAGGGTTGTCTGAGCCGTGTGACGGTGTGCCGCCGCGCAGCTGAACATCACGGACGGGGAGATCTCGGCCGGTCTGGGAGGGCCCATTAAGAAGACCTTTGACATCCAGCGCAAGATCAAGGTAGGCTTGGGGGGGTGTCTGAGCGGGTTAGGAGGGCAATGGATGGTTGGTTGGAGTTCGGGTGATTTCGAGTTTCCCCTCCAATGTGTGGGGAGGGAGGGGTAAATTAGGATAAGTTCCCTCTGGTCTGACGGGTGATGAACCGCAAATCGGTGGAAACCCTCCCGCCGTCGAGGCCGCTGGCACCGGGTTCCTGGTTGTGGACGAGGCTGTATAACGTTTGCAGCTGTACAGCATTTTGGGGTGTCAGCATTCCAGCGTTCTTGCAATGGGAGGTGGTTGCCGCCGCGCAAGGGGAAGCGGCGGCACACTGACGACATGATGATGAGGGATGACCCTTGCCGATGGCTGGAAGCTCTCATACACGCGCGTGCATTGCACAACCCAGGTCAGGACTTCGTGCCATCATGGACGTAAGTAAATACTCGTAGCTTACATTTAGAATGGAATCCAGGACTTCTATTTGGGAACGTGTCTCGGGTCTGATGGAATCAAACTATCTTGCCGTACTTACAGATTCTGTACCTGGACGACAAGGTCCGTGTGGCGCAGTTCCTGCCGGACGACTCCCTGCCAGACACGGAGGCTGACGAGGTGCGTACGGATGGGATTCGGTCGGTGCCGTACATGTACGACTGGAGGGTTCCGCCGGATTCCACATGGCGGCCTGATGGCTCTAGTATTTAATGCTAATGATCTTACATGTTCAGGACGATCGCTTGTAAACACCGCAGTCAGGTCACAGCGCTAGCCGGTGGCAGTAACACGACTGGCCCGCTGCCGTAAATCTGTGCATGCGGGGCTCGCCGCTCCATCTCTCTTTAGCCCGCTTGTTGTTCTGCTGCTCCTCATCATCCCGGGGTGGTTTCATAGTCCCGCATAGTTGTATCATCTGGGTGGTGTTGCGTTACTGACCCTCAAGTGCACGGCGTGCTCTAGCTGACAGGTTGCTGATACGCTTCTCCCTATGTTTCTTCGCGGCCACCCGTCCATTCCTGCACTATGTAAACTCCCTGTGAAGAACGGCGGCCGCAGCGGTGAGGACGTCGTGTTCGTGTTCCAGCGCATCACGGAGGAAGCGGAGGCTGAGGAGGAGGACGGACAGGTAGGTGCCGAGAGGGTGGTGTGGGTGCGGGAACGGGATTCAGCCTCTGCGTGGCGGCGCCTGTGTCCGAGTGAAGCGGTGCGCTGACCGATGCAAAACTACCCAAAGCTGTGACCGGTGGATGTGTTTGCACCGGTCTGGCTTTCTTTCTGTCTGTCTCTCTGTCTGTTTCTCTGTCTGTATTGGATGCTATACGCTTAGGCGTGTTTAGTGGTGTGCATGTGCGTGTGTATCACAACCCCTTGCGTGCGGTTTGAGCACAGGGCGCGGTATCAGCCTTTGTTGATGAACTAATAATATTCTGATGTCTGCAACTATGTCTCATCAGGCCGACGACGGCGAGGGCGCTGAGGAGGCCCCCAAGCCGGCGCCCTTCTTTGGCGGCAGCCGCAAGCTGGAGAGCGCTGCCACTGTGGCGGAGCGCCAGGTGCGGGAGCGCGACGCCGCTTGAGCAGGGGCGTGTGGGGGAGGGAGGGATAGGGGAGGAGTCGTCGGGAGCTGAAACAGGCGGGGCATATCACGACACATGCTGAGGGCATGGGATGGGTTCGAGCAGGTAGGTTGTTAAGGGGTAGAACCGCTACAGGTGCAGGGCTCGTGAAGCACCATGCTAGCATGCAGCGGTACGGCAGCCATCCATCTCCCACAAAGCCCTTCAATTGCTCTAAGCCGCTCTAACTCTCTATTTGCCGTTCCTCGCTGATGCACGCCAGGTTCGTCAGCAGCTGAAGGAGCAGCGGGGTGGCAGTGCCAAGGTAGCCGCCTCTGCGGCTGCTGTCCCGGCCAAGGCCCCCCTCGGCAGCGCCAGGGTGGTGGTGCCGCCGGCTCCGCGCCAGGTATCGCAGCGCGGCCGCCGTGAGGTCGCCGAGGAGGTGGTTGAGGACCCTAGGTGAGCTGCTCTGCGGCGGCTCTGGGGCGTAATGATGGGGAACTCAGGTCGTGCAGGGCAGCAGGGACGGTATCTGAAAGGGTGTTGTCACGACTGCGTTTTTATTGTGTAGCTCTCTCTCTCTCCATTTCACGTTACCTTTTGCCTTGCGCGGGAAACTGGGAAAACGGACCTCGTACCGTACAAATACGTACGGCGGTCAACCGAGCTCGTCGTCATGCAGTGCTGTGTGCACGTCTCGTGTGGTTAGATGTTCATCTGCATATCTGATCGTGTGGCTGATGTGTTTGTTTGTGTACAGGGAGCGTCGCCGCCGGGAGCAAGAGGAGGAGCGCGCCCGCAAGGTCAGCTTGGGGTTGGACTCCTTGGTTCGTGGGGTTAAAGGTGGCGGAAGGTGGTGCGTTGTTACATCAAGGGTTAAGGCCGCCCCACGCTGGGGCTCATGGGTGTTCGCCGTGTCCTGCCGTGCCCTCTCAAACACCGCACTCGGGTGCTACTGTTGTGTGATGTGATGCGCTGCTACTCCCTCTCATGAAGCATGTGCAAGGGCTGTTCTCCGCCCTTTCCTTCCCGGTGCTACATCTCGGTTTTGTTGTCATGTCGGGGCTGCTAATGTGCCACCTCGCACCTGAGGTGACACATGGGGTACATGGTGTAGTGCCATGAGCTTGTTACCACAGGACCCACACGACCTTAGGGGGGAACTGCCCGGGGGGAGATCCCTGGAGGTGGTCATTGAGATTGGGCTGTGTGGCTGATCGACGGCGTTTTGCAGGCTGCGGAGGCCGAGGCTAAGGCTGCGGAGGCTAAGGCAGCCCGCGAGCGTGCCGAGGCCGAGCGCCAGGTACGACGTTGTCCAGATCGTCGTACATGCACGGCGTCACAGCAGTTTTATTGCGGGAAATTGGATGTTTGTTGTCTGATGCCGTGTACGGCAAAGAGTATGTAACACATCCCGCTCTCCACCTCCTTCGCCATCTCTCCAGCTGTGGATGAGCTTTTGCTTGCACACGTCCTAACGCTGGTGTGCATATAAACGTGTTCGTGTTCAAGGGATGGATTTACATTGCCATGTATCGTACGTTTGCCATGCAGGCCGAGCGTGAGAAGCAGGCGGCCATCAAGGAGCTGCTCGCCAAGTTAGCCAACGAGATTAAGGAGCGGCAGGCGGAGGCGAAGGAGGCCCTGAAGGAGCTCAAGTGGGTCTCGACCTCTGGGCCACTGGGGGCTCGTACTCTAGAGGGTGCTGTTGAGGGTGTGAATTCACGGCTTAAGGCGTATACAGGTTCTCATCTCTTATCTCTCGTCGTCCTTCCCCTCTTGCTTGAGACGTAATTCCGTCTGAATCTCAGAGGGCACTTCCTAGCTGGGCTGTCCATCCGGGCCTTTTCTTTCCTTCCACGTTGCAACGTCCACCTTGAGAAAATGAGGGGTAGACAGGGGCATGTGCCGGTGTGTGTGCGTGTATGTATGTGTGTGTGTATGTATGTGTGTGTGTGTGGAAGGGGCGATAGAGCCTTTGCCCCAGTTGCCTACTTCACTGCCGCAGTCATATGTGACCACCACAGCAAGACGCACAACGAGATGATTGTTCACATGCACGGCCTGCATGCACTTTCCGTTCCGCTGTTGTTTCGCTGTTCCTAGCAGGGACGTCGAGAAGTCGACGGCGTCGGGTCTGAAGGAGTCGCAGGGCGCCCGTTCGCGCCTGGAGGAGGCTGAGTCGGATGTCAAGTCCATTAGCACCCAGCTGGACGCCGCCAGCGCGACCAAGAAGGAGGCGGAGAAGGCGGCCAAGGACGCTAAGGAGGTCGTGGTGGCGGCGGAGAAGACGCTGCGTGCACGCATCGCTGCGGCGGCACCAGTCCTGGCGCGCAAGTAAGGCTCGCTCCGTGACAGAGCTGCCGTGCCGCAGCCAAGGCGACGAGGCTTCGGACCACGGGGGATTCATGGCAGTGTTAATGGGGTTGGTCAGGACAGCGGCGGTGTCTGCGGCGGCGGCCTTGGCAAGGTGGTAGGACCGCCATTGCCGTGACCAGTGCCAGCAGCGACACCGTCGCCGTCTTCCTTCATGTTCCGCATGTACTATTAGTAGTAGCGCTAACTGATGATGCACTCGTGGCCTGGTAGCACCCGCTGTGGTGCTGGTGGCGATTGTCATCAGGGGCCACCGCCACCGCAGCAGTAGCCGGAGGAGAAGAGTGGCAGCTGGGAGGCTGATCAACTGCTGTCACCAGTTTTGCGGACTTGGAGGCAACAGAGGGAAAAGGGAGAGGGCTCTGTTTTAAGGTGTCATGAGAGGGAAGACACGAAGGGTGCATCGGCTCGTCCAGCTTGGGGGAAGCGAGGAGACGTGTGTCGGGTTGTCAGTCAAGGTGAGCCAAGGGAAGTGGTAGCTGTGCAGGTGTACACGTCACTGCCGCTGCCGTTCCCCTGCTGTCGAGCCGAGCTGGGCTTGGTACGGCTGTGAGCTAGGGCGGCATCTGGTGTCGCAGTCGTGTGAGGTCCAGGTTGCGGCTTATGTAACTGTCAGGTCGGCTTATAAGAAGACCAGGACACGGCTATTTTATAAGAGAGTTGATGCGATGTTTGAGCTGAGCGCCAAAGCCACAGTCGTTTCGGACGAGGTGGTCGAGATGTGCCTGAACCGGTTTTTATATACAACGGGGTTTTGTTTGTTTGGGGCCCGTTTTCGGTATCGGCTGTACCAACACTGCGCCGATGAGACGTTTAGCAATGGTGTGAAAACGCGACTACGTACGCTGAGGGGCTTCTGGCTGCGGAGGGCCGTACGGTACACGGCATCGGAGTGTCTTGCGTGCTGCCGCATCCCCATGTGTATTGTACGTGTGTTGGTTGTGAGCGCCTCCAGCCGGATTTTCCGTGCGTGCTTTCGGATGGAGAGATGGTGCTAGCCAGGTAGCAATATGGCTGCTGCGCCTCTGTGAATCAAAACGTTGGCGACGATGTGTTGCGTTGCGTTCCCTTGCGTTGGGCGCTTTCCATCTCTTCGTCTCAAGGAAGCTCGAAGCCTTCCCATTACGCAATGTGGGGCGCTGTCGTGACCCCGTTCGGAAGGTGGAACTCTGTGGGGACATCGGGCAAGCTGTGGAGTCGTGTGGAAAGGCTTCTCGCGCATCATGATCATTCTTTTGATAATTCTCTTCAGGTGTCATAAGGACCCGGAAAAGCCGCTTCGCCCCCGTCACCTTAACCCTCTAAAGGGGCTGACCTATCGTTGCGGTACCCGTGTATGTTGAGCCATTGATCAGCACCGTCCCACTTCGTACTCCAAGTATGTACGGCAGATATTCACAGACTATCCGATGCGTCTGCTTTGCTTCGGGAGGGACGCGAGGCTTCAAGCATTCTTAAACACATTACCACATGATAAAAGAGCTTTTTGGACGTTCTTATGAGGCCGACGCACAGGCACGGTGTTCTCTGGTGCGGTTGCAAACACGCTCCGAGCATCATCTGGTGGCTCCTGGGTCCCCTTAGGCACATTGTCCACTCCTTCCGCACACTCGCGGTCCATTAACCAAATAATAAATAAACCGCAAAGCCGCCGTCCACGTCGGCTGCCGCGCAGCTCTTCACTCCACTCCTAACATGTAAAGGCGGAGCAACTATAAACATTCTGCCCCTGCCGACTTTGTCTCTCAGCCGCAAGTACCAGGAAATCTGGAGCTAGTCGCTCCAGAACCGTCTTTTTAACATTAACATCACGATATATAAGTACGTCGCATGTGCACTCAGGGCACCAGCGGCATTTCTTTACATCGGACCTCTACGGTCCTCTCTACTGGTCTCCCCCTCTCTCTCTCTCTAAGCGCCCTGGCTAAGCAGGCGAAGACGTAGCTTTTCTATGATCCTGATATGCCGTAATAGTACGGAGACCAAAACATTCCCGGAGAGGCGCTGCCCCCTCCGGCGACTCTCCCCCCCCTTGTGTGTGTGCAAATCACACACTCCGCCCTAGGAGTGGAGCAGCGCGCCTACGGGGCCAACCATGGGCCCTATTCACTCCTCACCCATCCCTCTCACTCCCTAGGTAGGTGTAGGAGTGTTGATCACTCTCCAACACGTATGTATGTACGCATGTATGTACGGGCGGACGGCACATCTCAATACTCGCACACATGGGTATCGTAAACACCAGCGGCATCCCATGCTGTTGAATGCTCCCTCCGGATGACCTTCTTCTCGTTTCCCCCCTACTACCTTCAGTAATACCCTCCGTACCCGCCACCACCGCCGGATCGGTAACCTGACGTCCCGCGGCCGGCCGCGTACCCGCTGCCGTACCCGCCGCCACCATATCCGCCACCGCTGCCATATCCGCCGCCACCGTAACCTCCTGCGCGGTTTCCCGTGCCGCCACGGCCACCACGGTCGTCGTCGCTGTCGCTGCTCATTGCCGCGAGGGCTGCCTCTAGCTCCTGCGTCTCCCCAAGGGAATCATCGCCCACTAAAGCGCTGTTGCCGGGTGCTTTGCCGCGACCGGCTGCGGAGGCAGGTGCGCTGCCGTAACGAGGTTGCGGCTGGGCAGGAGACGGCGTCGGCGCCGGCCGCCGTGCCGTCGCCGCCGTCGCGGCTGCGGCGGCCGCGCTACCGCCGCTGAGTCCCACTTCCAGCTCTGCCGTCGGGTCGTCATCGTCCTTGTCGAAGCTGACGCTGTAGTCATCGTCGCCGCCGCCGCCGTCGACGCTGTGCTCGATCTCCAGTCCCTCAGTACTGAAGGACAAGCCGCTGATGGCAGGTCGACTGCGCCGCTGTGCCGCCGACGGTAGCTCAGAGTCAGGCCTGCATTCATGTTTCCATGTGTACGGCAGTGGGTGCACGGCGATGTATGACAAGAAGCTCCCATTTGCCTCCTTAAACTTTTACCTGCTAATTTAAAACGAACTTTGAAACTGACAGTAAAACGTTGACAGTAATAATAATCTCGTGACGGCGTTCAACGCACCTTCGTACACCTGACATGGACGAGCTGCTGCGCAGCAGCATGCGCTGCACGTTTCCACCACCGCCACCACCACCACCACTGGGCGCCTGACCGCGGCCACCGAGGGCTCCGGAACCGCTTCCCAAGATATTAATGGAGGCCGCATTTGAAAAGAGTGACGAAGAGCTGCTAAACAACGACGATGCAGATGAAGACTCAGAGGCGGCTCCCCGCCGGGACGACGACTTGGCCTTGCCCTTGCGTCTGTCGCCGCCGGCTGATGCCGCTGCAGCGGCGGCGGCGGCGGCAGCGGCGGTGACTGCCGCCTCCGCCGCCGCCTTCTTAGCTGCCTTCCCGTCCTCACTCAGAAAGTCCGAGTCGTCAGAGTCGAAGGACGAGCTGCCGCTCTCGTGTACGGGCCGCCGGACCTGCTGCGGCGCCGTCGGCGCCGTCTGTAGCTTCGTAGCGGCGACGTTGCTGCTGCTGCCCTGGCGGCTGACGGCGTTGGACGGCAGCGCGGATGCGGTCTTGGACGGGGCCGCCGGGAGCTTGAGTGAAGCTGACGAGGAGGAGCGGCTCGTACGGCCCCCGAGTGCGCCGTCTTCGCGGTCCCTTGCCTTGCGGCCCCCGTCGGGCTCATCGTCCCCCTCCTCCTCCTCGTCGTCGACTTCGCTGAAGAGCTGGGAGTACTCGCTCTCCTGGGACTCCTAAGTTGGAAAGGAAGTGAGCAATACAGGTTGGTGGGAAGTCTGACAGACAGACAGACAGACAGACGGACAGACACGCAGGCAGCGTGGGATTCTGGCTAGCTGCTGAGATGTGGAGTGAAGGTCACAGTTGACGGACCTAAACTTGCACGCTGGATTGGTGGGGAATGCTGAACCCGCTGCCTCTACGGATGTTCGGGTGGCATGATGATGAGGGACTCTAGAAGGCAGAATCTACCGCCTTAGGCTTGCAGTTCGTATGGCGTATTACAGTGTGGTAATGGTGGATGGTGCTGTATGGTGTTCAATCCTAGATATGTGGATCCAAATGTGTTCAATGGCCTCCCACCCTGTAACAACAACACCAACAGCAACACCAACACCAACAACACGTACACACCTGCCGAGCGGGCTGCGTGGGTCTCTGCGGCGGCTTGGAGGTCGCCGCAGGTACGGCGCGTTGCGCGACACGACGATCCGTGGACGCCGAAAAGTTGGAGTTGGCTGCGAGGGATGCGGGGCCGGTTAGTTAGGTGGTTAGCTAGGGATTTAGTTAGGTACGACATACCACATTACCTGACTCGGTTGCTGCTGCGCGATGTCGCCACTGAGCCTGAGCTTGTTTGTTTGGGTTCACGCTGAGGCCCTGAGGTTGTGTACGCTGCTTAGTTTGTTTCGGCGGTTGTCCATACGTCTTTACTTTTACTCATCTCGCCCCGGCGGCCACTTCAGGCGCAACGTGTATGGGGGTTCTCGAATCCTTACGTTTTGTCCCCACAGCGGCCGCTTGTCCCCGTTCTTCCTGTTCCCGACCGCCCGCCCTCCCTCCCTCCCTCCCGCCCTCCCGCCAGCCACCTGATGCCCGCATGTCCCCGGAGGCCAGCAGGTCGTTCAGGAGGGAGTCCTCCAGCAGCGTGTCGGCGGTCTCCTCCGGGTTGACCGCCTGGACCTCCTGGGACAGGAGAGGGGGGAGAGGGGGAGGAGGAAAAGGGGCAGGGGGGACTGAGGATAGGGAAAGTGAGGGAGAAACCCGCACAGACCAGGCACGGGGAGAGGTTGGCGGGCCCTGGGGAGCACCGCGGTCGGGTGGAGTGGGGTTGTGGTGAGTGCAGCACAGGGCAGCACAAGGGGGATGGACCCCATGGAGCTGAACGGCGCAGCACGTGCCCTGAATCGTGCCATAGATCCGTGGCATCCCGATCCGGAAGGGCCTTATATCGCTGTGTGTGGATGGGGTTGCGGCATTTCTGCTCGCTCGTGCGCGTGTGTGTATTGTTCCCTACTGCCCTCTCCCAATCTAATCGAGCCCAACTGTCGCCTCACTCTGCCGCCGCCACAACTGACCCACCACCATGCAGTAGTACAGCACAACAACAAAACTACTACCACTGCCGTTTTTTTCCGCCATACAGCCGTACTGCCGTACTGACCTGTGTCGTGACCTGGGATTGCAGTCGGCCGCCCAGTCCCAGCGGCCCCACCTCATCCGACTCCTCACTTATGCTGATGGTGCTCTTGCTGTGGGTGCTCCTGTGCAAGGAAGAGGGGGTAGCGGGAGCGGGAGGGGAGCGAGTGAAGCAAGAGCTGGGGGCGGGAGGCCGCGGGAGGGGAGAAGGGAGGGAGGTGAGGTTGGAATCAGGTCCAGCAGACGGGCGGGTCGGGGCACAAGGGAGGACAGGAGCAGAACGGCAGCTGGCCAGGTAAGGGTGTGGGAAGGAGGTTGGGCGGGAGAGGACGCCGAGGTCTCACGAGCACAGACCCCCCTCCCGAGTGGGAGTCTCAGGGACCAAAACGAAACCCTTAAACAGACCCACTTGCACACCCCCACCCCACCACCACCCCACCCCACCGCACACCGCATACCACACACACACACTGCCACGCACTGCCACACGCGCTCGCGCAGTCCCCCCCAACCGACAACCACCCTACCTGAGGAGGTCGGTGTCGGGCACCTGGAACGCCACACGGCTTTGAGACCGAGCCGACCGCCACTTCGCCGCTCCCGCCAGGTGGGCCTCAGCAGCCTCCCCGGACGCGGACGTGGTCATCGCCGGGTGGCGACCGGCGGGGCCGCCGTGGGCTGGACCCCGGACAGCCGCTGCCGCCGCTGAAGTCGCCACTCCTTCCTCCTCTTCCACATCCATGAGCATGCCCTCCTCCTCCTCGGCCTCGGAAATGTGGCCGTGATGACTGACGGCGAGGGAGCGCCGACTGGGTGCGGCGGCGGCGG